CCCGACTGAGGCAGAGCCGGAGGGAGACGTCCGGCCTGAGCTCGCTATGCATGAGTATAGATGAGCGATCGACGTATATAAGACTCTGAGCTGACCCTCTCACCTTCCAGCACCTAGCTACCCCTCAAGCACAAGACTTCCGCCACAGAACCGCCTTCGCCATGATTTTCAAGCTCTCCGACGTTCTTCTCGCACTCAGCGTCTCCGTCGCCTCCATGGTCGGTGGCGCCAGCGCCGCCGCCTCTGTCCGTCGTGACGTCGCTCTCGCGGATAACCCAGGTTTGCCCTCGTGTTCTCCGTCGTGGACGCCCAGGCTCATGCTATTCGCAGTCGACGCGTGCAACGGTAGCAACCACTATGGCGTTGGCCATAGCTGTGCCTGGCAAGGCGGCAACGAAGGCAGTGAGTTGTCTTGCTTGTGCAGACATTAGATACGGCGATGCTTACCGCCTCTTCCAGCATGCGAGACCAACGCGAGCGGCGTCCTCGTCTGCACCAACTGAGCGCGGCTTGTATGTTTTTCGGAGCATTCAGCCATACGTCGCGGCGGGACACAGAATCCCTCATAGGTCGTTTGAATCACCATGTTGACTCTTATAATACACTTTTATTGGCTTGAAAGGCATGGATGGGAAAGGCTCGCAATCATGAGCATGCAAGAGCTCGCCCAGCCGTACGGCTGAGCAAATATAAAGCGCGAACGTCCGAATCGTGCTGTGTCGTGTGGCCACCCGAGGCTCCGGCCTCGACGCCAATGTACGAAAACGGCTTCTTCAATTCCAGATAAAGTGGTCATAAACCGGTTCGATGTGAAGCGCCGCAGTACTACATGAATAGTCCCCCGGAGGGCATGAAGGAAGATGGAGGAATCATATGGCCCTGGTGGGTGCGGACAACCCGCGCGTCACGCTCCGGCATCAACCCATCAGAGGATGTCAGCGAGTGATGGCCTATCGCCGAGTGACATTGTTACCACCACGAGCTTGCCATGGGCCACAGAAGCAGTTCCGGCGTACGCTGCACCGCAGCTGCTCTCAATATGGATTACGTGTGAGCGTGAAGATGGTAGCCGCCTTGGGTGACGAGACAGAGTGTGCTGGACCGGTACGCAGCATCATCGCCATCGGGCAGGCGAGCTCGCGACTGACTTTGCAACTACAGTAATACAGACAGAAATAAGAATATATGCACCACCACATTTACTCCCATCTGGACATTGTTCCAAGATACTTCTTTGCCCAACTGTGCTCCAGAATCACCCTGGCAAACGCGTGTTCCTTCCCGAGCATCTTGAGGACGCAAAGTAGAATGGATGCTACCGCAGCGTCGATGTGAGAAGGCGCGTCTCCCGTGACGAACACAGCACCGGGGCCATTCGTGGCGACATGTACTGCGATTGCGTCGAGGGCCACCTTGAAGGCCTCGCTCGCTGCCGTCATTGCTTCCCTCTTCCACTCCATGTCCTCGAACTTTCGCCCGAACCATTTCTCTCGAGTATCGCGGACATACGCCCTGTCCGCGTCGTCAATGCAACATTCCTCGAACACCGGCATGGCAATACTCGGAATTATCATGTTCAGCAGGGGCGAGACGACCTTCTCGAGATAAGCCTCTTGAAACCCTGCGGCGCCCGGCATGACGAGGCGCGGCGTGTCCGGATACGCCTGGTCGAGGTACTTTGCAATGGCGAACGATTCGGTGACGATCTTGTCGTTGTTGGGATCATATATGGTCGGGATGGTGTAAAGGAGTGGACCTCCTTGTGCGGCCAGGCCAAGTTCCTTCATCTTCGGCTCAACGCCGGTGAAACTCAGCCATTCCGTTTTGTATGGAAGGCCCTTGATGTTCAGTGCATATCTGGGCATGGTCTCGTTGAGCGTTCATCACGGGAGATATGGTCTCAACACACCGTGTTCTATTCATCCGTGTGTCGTTCATGAGTACACACAGTCTATCACGGACAGCGTGAACTCACTTCATGCTGCAATAGTTGTCGGTGTCCGTCTCAATGGGTTGTACAACCACAGAACTCACGTATTGGGGCTCCAGCACTTAGCGGAGTCGGACTGCCCTGTGGGCCCTTGGCGTGTCAAGTCGTAGAGAATGATGGATTGGGGCATTGCGAGCAAGTGGCTAACAGACGGGCGTGTAAAGGGAATAGTGCACACGATACAAGTTCGCCCAGCCCCCTTTTAAGCCGTGCGTGCCCGTCGCTGGCGCAGATCTCATGACTGACTAACTCCGGCAGCCGGAAAAAGAGTGAACGATCCCCGATTGCAGTCGCTGATGTTGTAGTCGCCGAAGAGACGCGGCAATTCGGCAGAGGACATCAACCCGCTGGAGTCATACGTGAACAACCTCTGTGAGAACCATTCGATCTGATGGTCGCGCTACGACGTATCGAACCTACTCATGTTGTGGACGTAGACGCCCGTCTCCGGAGGAACCTGCAGGCCAAGCGACTCACGACCATTGCCGCAGAGCTAGCGGTCGACAAATAGCAAAGAAGGTTTATATCGATTACAGTTATAGGACAATTCTCGTACAAGAGATAAGTGTACGACTCGGGCGCATACATTGGCCAGAGGGCTCTAGGTCTATGGCGTTGAGCTCAGTTAGACGATGGATGAACCATGGGTACCAGGGACAGCTCACCCGGTGCACTCGGCATGGAAGCTTTGCTATCCACGATCAGTTTGGAATGCAGACGAGATCTCCTGAGTCGTCGGTCTGGCAAGCTGGGTACCCAAGTCAATGCCTTGGCATGATGTGAAGATAATAAATGTGCTATGCTCACTGCCTTCGATGGTACCCGCGGTATTGCCGCTGCCGCCGGAGTACGCACAGCTGTGACCGACACCATAGTGGTTTGAACCGTTGCACGCATCCACTGCAAGATAAAACTGAGCCGGACATGACCTGACCGGTCTGCATGGGTCGTGGGCGCACCAGGGTTGTCAGCCAGGGCGTTGACCGTGACGAGGAGCGCCGCGATAGCGAAGAAGGTGGTGGTGAAGTTGAGCTTGGAGAACATGTTGGGTGATGTAATGAGAAAAAGTGTACGAGGAGACAAGTAGTGCTTTCGATGCGGTAGGACTCTGAGATGATGATGAACTTCGGCGAAGACCTGCTAGGCTTTTATACTATCTGGTTGAGAGTGATAGGTCTCACTCGTGTAACGTCTACCGCAAGGGCTGAGCGTGATTTGTCAACGCAAGACACCAAGTGAGTGCATGTCATGACCCTTGAAATGTCCCCTCATGCTTTGCACCACTGACTGAATACCCTGAGCTTCGTGCGGTGTTGACAGGTCAATACAGCTCCGACCCGCCGAGTACCCCAGGAGCGAATGGATGATATTCTCTTGAAACCATGCATAGTGGAGCAGGGTCTTATGATGATACTACATCCATACAGCACTGTACACGCAGTGCGTACTATCGATTCTTGAGAAAGGTGTGTAAGCTACTCCTCGCGTACAGCCAGCCGACAGCCACGGACGTACAGCTGAGGAGCGCGCGCGAACAGCGGGATACCTAGATCGAATTACGTCGGCTCAACGACATGCCCGCCTATCAAGGCGGTATATGGGAGCCAAAGGTGCTTTTCGTCGGCGCGGCAGCCTGTATGCGCATGTAATGGGGCACCGGAAAGACATACATCGCCTGTGATTCAGATTTCCTACGGTTGAGAAGTATACAGGTGATTACGCTGGCAGGTAACGACGAAATGAGCCTTACAGATTTCCATGGTAGGGGTCCTAGAACTGTAAACCTTGTTCAAGAACAGCATGTGTCAAAGAACAATCATCGCGGCATCCCATAGCCACCCGTTGCAACACAGCTGTCAGTGATACCGATGATGCTGACTTACCCTGAGATGAGAGCTCTTCAGGTAATTCGTGACGTCCTACTAGTAGAATAGAGTACTCCGCAAGCACGATGTGAGGGAGTGAGGACCGGGAGCTTGTCAGATGGTGCTGAAAACAGGGTCTCAGCTCAGTTTGTGGACTATACATCAGCAGAGAATATACGCTACATGTTCTCTAAGAGACCGCAAACGTGCGCAAACACGTGCTTTCGGTGATCCAAGCTGGGCCTCAGACCATCAGTGTATTCGGCAAATGGGATCAAGCTCTAGCTTGTAACATGAGCAGGGCGTATCCTACGTAGAGCTCAATATAGCGCTTGAATGTCCGTGCACCCATCACCATAAGGCGTCAGTACAACCCGTCCGTAGTCGGCTGTCAAGAATCTTGATCCGCGAATATGCCACTACCCGCAGAACCAACTGATTCGGGACACCCGTAGAAGACCGATGCCGCGCCAGTCCGAAGTCATCGGCCAATGGAGGGAGACAGCCGAAGTTCGAAGTATCAGCGAAGCATCCCGCTACCCCACAACAGTCACTGTCAGCACACCAATAGCCAACGTGTCTGAAATACATCTCACCATCAATAGGGCCAGAGCCACCCTGCATCGCAAGATACTCCATGAGCACGACGTCACTTCTACCAACCTTGTTCGATACGATACAGCTGACGCCGGCGCCAAATATTTCCTGAGGATGCTGTTAATGTAGGCCATGTATGAAGCACAGACTGGAATATGTGTAAAATTACGAACGTATATAAACATTTGCGCCGAATCGATTGCACTCCAGCCTCCCACCAACGAACACATTCTTCATCTCAACCACTCGCAACCGAGCAACTTCAGCCAAAGATCATGTTCAAAGTCTCTAACACCATCGTCGCCGCCCTCATTGCCGTCCTGGCCATGGTTGGTGATGCCAGTGCCGGTATCCCTGCTCGTCGCGACATCGCTCTGGCGGACAACCCAGGTTAGTGATAACGCACCCGTCGAGAGGGGTTTATCTCAGAGCTCCCTCTTTACAGTCGACGCCTGCAACGGCAGCAACCACTATGGCGTCGGACATAGCTGCGCCTGGGCGGGTGGCAACGAAGGCAGTACGTCGACGATGATAGCAGCTTGGTTCTCGAACAAGCCGATGCTAATTATGAGCACAGCCTGCCAAGTCAACCCCAGTGGCGTACTAGTCTGTGTCAACTGAGAGATATCGATACGGAGTTTCAAATTCGCGACGAACCTGTAAGAAGTAGGCAGCTGTACTACAATGAGACGATCCTTATGTATAGTGAACATATGGATTGTGTGGCTGTCCCCGGCATGTCAGAGAACAGTTATCGTGTAAGATAATATCTCACGGAAGTTCCTGCGTTGATAGTGAGTAGAAAAGTGTCCAAGTCGATAATCTGGTTGAAGAGGACAAGCACCGAGGATAGTTCAGTCAGAGTGACCATCAGTTTCTAGAGCAAGGGCTTTCTATGAACAAGAAGGCGCTTTTGAGCTTTCTTGGTACAGATCTGTCCTGGCGGTGATTTGCGCTACACACGGGACGTGAAACTTAGGTGGTGATGGTCAGGGTCAAAGACGGATCGACTGACGTCCCGTTGATTGCCATCGTCATAAGCAGGTGACCGCGTTCGAAAAGTCGAACCTCCACGCGTTTTCCGGCCACCGATTTAGTTGTCCGCTCCTCCCATCTGCTCACTTGCTTTGTATTTTGTACTCGATTCTCTTCTCATCTTGCACCTGGCGCGCTACGGCGAAGATACCATATACCCACCATGCACATTAACGACCTGCCTGCTGAACTCTTGACGACTATTTATGAGATGGTGGTCTATGATGAGACAGTCTCCTCGTGGGCCGCGCCCACCTGTATGAAGGAGAGCTACTGGGATAAGCCAAGGAAGGACTATGTCCTGATAGATCCGAATGCGGATCTACATATTCGGCAGAGGAGGAAATACGCCATGACCAAGGTGTGCACCACAGACCTTACTCTCAATACACGAGTGCTCACCACACGGTCTACTAGAACTTAATGTTGACATCGAAACTCTGGTACAGGCTCAGCTACTATCTCCTCTTCCAAACAATCTTCATATCCGATGCTGCCGATATACCTGCTGTCTGCATCGCTTTCGAGCGCACGGAGGAGCTCGCGTGGTACGTGCAGAGGATGCACGTTGTGCGGTGGTACGCCCCGCGCGGGTTATCCATGTCGCACCTGGCAGCTATGTTGGTGTCGGTCATCCAACAATGTCCAAATCTTATGTCCTTCACCATTGAATGGTCGCTCTCCACCGCATTCCCGGACGTGGCGAGTTCGCTCTCGATGTTCTCTTCGCACACCCTTCGCGCACTCCGCATCAGCGTGACGCCCTCAAACCTCTCTCGCTTCATCTGGGCTCTTGAGTGCTTGCCCCTACTCTTCTCATGTCAAGTTGACGTTGCGATGGAGGGCGCTACCGACGATACACCAGGCCCCGAACCACCAGAGATCACGCCACGGCTGGGCGCTGCCTCGAGTCTGCCCCTCGAGCTACCACAGCTTCAACAACTTGTTGTTCGCGGACGCTCTCAAGCACTCCTTGAACATGCATGTGGATGGTCTCTCCCGGTCCTGTCGGCAGTGACCATAGACTTCGGGCTGCACACCACCGACATGCCTGACATTATCTCCTTTCTCGACAGTCACGGCTCAACACTCAGTTTCCTCGACTTGAACACCATACCCGCAGTCGAGGTGGCAGCAGTCTTGGCTCGCTGCCCTCTGCTCACCTCTTTCGCCTTCAACCCTGATTGGCATCTGCCATTCCATGAACCCGAGCAGAACGCGCCGTTCGTATATGCGCCTCACAAGAACATCCGGCATATCGGCCTGCACCAGCTCTTGCACGCGTTCTTGCCAGGGAGCCCTGAACTTGCCGCGGCTGCAGCACGGACGAACGACGCGACCTTCGCGCAGCTCACACGTACCAACTTCCCCAATCTCACGCTTGTGCGCCTACTATCGCGGCCACTGCTTGCTGCGCTTGAACGCAACGATGGGCCTTCGGACGGAGATGGCATGGCGCGATGGGAGCGCTGGGATACCTCATGCCGTGTGCAAGGCGTTCGCCTTGAAGATTGCACTGGTGCACCCTTCGGCGATCTACCGGAGGACGAGGACTCAATCGAGTACTACGAGGTTGACAGCGACGCGGAGGAGATCGTCGAGGAGCGCGAGGCTGCAAGGAGAAAGGAGAAGCCAGATGGGCTGCAGCCTTCGAATGTGCAGGAGCTGAGGGATCTCATCGAGCAGATTCGCAATTTTGATATGAAGGATCCCTTGGATGGGGTGTTCACCGCTGCGCTGGCTGGTGGTCCTCCCCCTGCTGCATTCGCCTTCGCACAGTGACCGATCAACACATCACTCCCCGGGGCGCGAATGTAGCGACCAGTTTTCCCTCTCTGATTGCTGATGTGCTTCTTGGTGTACATGCTTGTCACTCCGCTGATATTTCTGAAATATACATCACTGCTGCTTACACACGTGACCGCGTTAGCTTCGCCAACGCTTCCCTGCCTCGCACGCGCCCAACTCTAAGCCCATTCTTGCAATTGAGAGAGTCATCTGGTCTCAGCAATGACCTTCGCAACAGTCAGCTGCTCGCACCGTATCTGGTGCAACGTCAATAGTGCCCCTCCTGGCCATACCTCATCTACGCAAAACGACGTCCTGCCTCTCTATATGCGCTCTACTACTGTCTTGTTCGACTACTATTGGCATACAGCGTTCACCATAGAGACACACGAGAAAGATCCGACAGCCCGCGAGCTCCCAACAAGACCCCAGAGCGAGACGCGAACAGCCTACGTTAGGGGCCCGAGCCTAGAAGGGGCATGGGCTTGCGCCCAGAGTCCTGTGACCGTCCTATATAATGCGAGTGCGTCCGCACCCGACATCCCTTCCTCACAACCACCACTTTCCGCATCCGCACTACTCTCTGCGCCCTACTAGAGCCAGAGAACACAGTCTTGAGCCCTCCCTCAACTCGACCGCCAGAACCCTTCCTCCGACTATGGCCGAAGTCGCACCCGCCGCCAGTGCCGTCGAGATCAACGACGCGCTCTTCTGCCAGCACTTCAAGGAGGTTGTAAGTGACCTATCTGTAGTCAGCAGCATAGGATACACGTTCTGACTGGCGCTTCAGTGCGAGGAGTGCGACGTCGACAACAGGGAGGAGAACGACGCGTTCTTCGGGGTACGTCACGCGCGTCGGGAACTGCCGTGCGACACCTGCTCACACGACCATGTAGCTCGACAACAAGCCGCGCGATGGCATCGAGGCCCCAGCTGCTTCGCAGACTAAGGATGGAATCTGGCAGTACGTATCCTCTACTATCCGTCCTCGTAAACATGGCTGATCTCCGCTCGTCCAGGTGCAAGAAGCACGGATCAACCAGTACGTTCTGTCGTGTGACATGGATATGGCTTTCACTAACTCCTTCGCGTCTTTTAGCTTGCAACCAGTGCTACGGCTGGAAGAAGCAGATCACTCGTCTCCAAGTAGCCGCGAAGAAAGCAGGGAAGAAAGGCAACTAATTGCGTACGAACGAACGCTGAACGAACTTGAATCTGGATGCATCGATCGGGACTACGTTCTCGCTATCGCTCTGCTGTACTCTTACTTGCAATGTACATTACTGCTTAACCATTGTATCATGATCGATCGATAAAGAAGGATGTCGCACTCAAAGGTCCACATGCTCTGCGAGGTCATCCGCAGTTGATACGACCACATGACTTGAGCGCCGGGGTAGGAGGGCTGGTCGCGGCGGACGCGTCGCGGGAACCGATGATAGGATCAAAATAATCAGGCTCACGAAACTGGGCGCTCGCAGAACGGCGATACAACACCGCCCGCGGGCGAAACTGTTCATGCACACGCACGACGACCGTTGAACGTTCGTCAGAGTGACCCTCAAAGTAAAAGTCTAGAAGCAAGTGCTACAGTAGGTTACAGGTATATAGGAGAAGAAGACAATGTCCAGCTCCACCGCGGGGTCCAGGAAGCAAGGCGCTTAGAACGCCTTGGCGACGAACTCCCAGAAGGACTTGCCCTGGATGTTGGCAATCTCGAGCTCGAGCGCGCTCGCAGTGCGAGAACCGTCACCAGCGGCGAAAGTGCCGGCGCCCCAGGGCGAGCCGCCGTGGACCTCGGAGAGGTTCGTGAGCTGACCGAAAGATGTGGCGTAGCCGAGAGGAACATAGGCGATGCCATGGTGGGCAAGCGTACTCATGGCAGCGATGGCCGTGGCTGTGGCGGATGTTCATGTCAGTACCCTGTACCTATGGCGAGAACGCAAGTGGATGACGTACACTCCTGTCCACCGCCTGGCGAGGCGGTCGAGATGAAGAGACCAGCGAACTTGCCGTGAAGCTTGCCGCCAGCCCAGAGCTGACCAGTGGCGTCCCAGAAGGCCTGAAAGGATAGTGTCATAAGATAGGGGTCAAACACATGAAGGAGGATACCTACCTTCCACTGGGCGGGGAAGTTGCCATAGCGAGTGGGAATACCAAGGAGGAAGGCGTCGAACTGGGCAATGTCGTTCGGGGCGAGGACGGGCTAGTACATCTGTTAGTATACGGTCGTAAGAGCAACCACATAGACGTACGTAGTCGGGCTTGGCCGGGGCGTGCATCTTCGTCAGAACCTCCTGCGGGAGCGTCTCTGAAATCCTACACAGCGCGCACGTATGAGTATACGTCGAGCAAGTAGGTTCATATAGAGCACGTACTGGTAGATGGTGGCCTTACCGCCAGCCGACTCGATGCCGGCCTTCTCGGCCTCGGCGAGCTTGGCAATGTGGCCGTACATGGAGTAGATGATGATTGCGACGTTGGGAGCCATGGTGTTGTTCGGTGCAGTGGAGGTGGAGGTGGGTTCTGCTGCTTTCGGTTTCTCGGTTTGTGCGGGTTTTGTACTCGCTGGGGCCGGGTCGTCGAGTGCGGCCTTCTACTCGGAACGTCAGCAGGTGACGAGGGCGAGGTGATCTCAGACTGTATACTTACCTGAGACTTTGAGCTGAAGCAGCTAAAACAGGACATCAGATAACACAGGTGGTTCGCTCGGAGGATCGATGTCGTTGTCCAACGAGCTTTCCGTCCTTCTTATGCGGGTGATATGCCGCGAGCGCCCACATCAGCGCGTTCCAGAATGTATCCCTATTCCTACTGCTCGTTCGCACCGCGAGACACGGAAATAAAAAAGCGCGAGAGCAGATGCCCGAGAAAGGCAACCGAATGACTGTTCCGTGCGTGTGATCTGGCGGGATTGGCTGAAGCGCCTCGCGTAAGGTGCCACATGGGATTACAAACTAGCGCTCAGGGCTACGGTGTTTCGACCTTGCACACCGCCCAACGTGATGAGCTCGCAAGATAATTCTTCTGACACAGATGTACAAAGCACATAACACAACGCCCACTACGTGTACACCTCGTAAGCTCTCGCGAATGAATCTACTGGCGAGACTGAGCCCCGTCAGCCGTCACGCCATCGCGAACTCCGTTTAGAACAGGCTTTCTTCGGGGATGCCGCTGGAACTGCCCGGAATTTGCCACTGGTCCTCGGCGTCCGCCCACGGCGCGCCTCCATCGTCGCGCCCGCGAACAGCCTGCACAGAAGCGATGTCAATCAGTACGCGCTTCCAAAGGGGTCGGAAGCAGAGCCCATTCATTCAATCGACCTCCGCCGACTTCGAACGGCACAGGGTCGCGAACATGCTGTCGAACGACAGGCGCTCAGGCGCGCGCCTAATGGCTGCCACCCGAGGTCGAGAGCGATACAGAAGACGTCTATGACGCACCTTGGACAAGTATTCCTTGCTCACGGCCATCTCTTTCTCGAGCGCGCGCAGCATTTTCTCCTGGGCCTGCGCACGGGCGAGCACGGCGTCCATCTGCGTCTTGGTGACGCTCACCGGTGGATCATCTTCGAACGCGATCGTGCCGTCCGCCGAGATCGTCGCGTTGATCTCGCGCGCTTCGATCTGTGCCGGGCGCCAAAAAAGTCAGCATAAGCACGAGCGAAAAGGAAGCCGATGTCTGTATCGGCGACAGGGATGCGAAAGACGTACCATGCTCAGTACAACACGTCGGACCTCCTCCGCGTCATCGATGCCCACAGACTGCCCGATCTCCGCCAGACCGAGAGTGAGATAGGTCTCGGTAAGCCGCTTGATAGTCCAGCGCGGAGCGCGCGTTATAGCTTGTTTCAAGAGGCCGAAGTTACCGTCCTAGGCCGAGTGTCAGTATCGAGGAAGGTTGGTAGGAAGGGGTGCGACGCCGTACGTTGACGAAGTTCGGTTGCTCTTTCTCCACCACTGCCATCATGTTTGCCGTTTGTGCCGGGTATGACCGGGCAAAGGCGCCGTAGGGCGAGCTGGCGGTCGCGATACGAGCTACCGCAGGATGCGTGTATTTCGGCAGAGCCATGGACTGCGAGGCGCATTCACCATTCAGTACTGAGACCCTTCTCCAGTCGACAGGAAAGCACGCAGACCTTTCCATGGTGAATGAGATGGACCAGTACGAGCTTCTTCGCAGCATCGATCTGGATCGTACTGGGCTCACCGCCACTGCTTCCAGGGAACCTCATGCTCCGGCCTTCACCTCCGCGCGACCCGCTCATCATCCCACCACTCATCCCGGGGCCCATCGGTAACGGTCCGGCCCCACCAGCGCGTCCGGTCGACACTGGCGCGGATGCGGCGGTTTCGAGAAGATACGCTGCTAAATCCCAGCGACGAAGAGCGGCAGCGGCTACACCGGCCGTGTAGTGGTAGATAAGGTGATCCTTGTAGGTCAAGTCCGGGCTCAGACCGAGGCCAATGTTCGTTATAGGCTTAGATATGATAGGGAGGGCAATGGCATAGCTTTGTGATGCGACACATGCCTACAGAATACTTCAGTCTAGTGCGGATACGGTGATCTACATTCAGAGTTTACCAGCAGGAAGGGCGTGTGTAAGGTCGTCAGTTGCGTCGTATCAGGGCAGTATCGCATCAAGAGGTCATATAGAGGTCCAACGGCGATTTGAGCCTGTCGCATCGGTCAACAATCTATTCAGTAAAATATCCAAGTGCACTTACATTATCGTGATGACCCTGCGCGAAGTTGAGAATAGCATTCGCGAGCTGAGAAACTGCATGATCAACTTATAAGTCGGCGCCTCTGCAGGGACTCGGGATATACGTACCGCGATCAGGTGCGAGCCGCGCTTGTTCTGGATCAAAGTGTTTGCAGAAGGTCGACAGCAAACCTAGATCTAACGGAGGCGCCATATTTGGCGCGGCGCGCAATCGGGCGGTTCTGATATCTCCTTAGCATCGCAGCTCGAGTCGGCGCATGGATAGAAGAGACTGACAAGATATATATCATCCCAAGTGTGTGCAATGATGGGTTCAGTACGGCAAGTGGGTCTTGATTGCCCTGTACTGGTTGCAAGAGTAACACGGCGTCGCGATTCGAGATATCATTCAACAAGCGCGCAAGCTGCGGTGCTTCGTGGATGTTCGAGCTCGCGACTATACGGGCAACAAGGCCATCCATGTTTGGTATGCCACTTGCACCTCCCCCTTGACTCTGGATTGGGGGTGGCGCGGGTGCCGATGTTGTTGCGAGAGCTTGAACGGCTTGAGCGTGACTTCCTGCGGGTGCATTGATTTCGGTGGGCTCAGGGCCTGTCTCCATTGGGGCGTTGTCGGGTTGGACTGGGGTGACTGGTGCGGATGCACCTCCGGGTGGCGTCAAGAGGCCAGCAGCGTTTTCGCCATCCATCTTTGCTCAAAAGTATTGATGCCACTGTAACAAGTATTAAAGTCAGCTTCAACAAGTCTGGTACAGGGCAATCTGCTGTGGGAAGAAGAAATAGATGGTGAACGCCGAGTGCACGTTCTCGCGAGTGCAGAGTGGCGCTGGGCGAACAGCACAGATACACGAGGGCAGTTGGGTTCTGCCGTAATCCAGTAGCAAACCGACACATGAAGACTTCATTCGAAAGGCCTACCACGCGTTTCGGGCGCGATGGACGCGTATGGCGTGTGCGATCTCCTGCAGGGCGCGGGTAACTGGACATGCGCGTACCTCGAGCGGGTTTTGGATGTATATTTCGGGTACACGTAGATCAAGCCGCCTTTGAGTATATCACAGGCTTTGGTGATCAGACGAGACAGCTTCCGGGCCAAAGCGTGGTGCAAAGCGAGAGCGAACGCGAAGGTCGAGTTCAAGCAGTGAGACGCGTTGAACGCGCGTGCGGCGTCTCGGGCGCGCGCCGCGCGGAGCCGCGCGTGTGGGAACATCGCGAAATAATGAATTGTTTGGAGGTGTTTCTTTGACTCAAATCTTGACTATATACGTCGACCAGCCAGGCTCTCTCCTGTTTCTCATTCTCTATCATCATGCCTGAGGCTACGTGCGTCGTAATCTGCCGTTACTGCAATGGATTTCCATATTGATCTTGGGATAGAAATGCACCAAAAACGTCCTGGGCGGACGACATCGATGAGCTCGGTGCGTCAGCTTTCCAGCTGTCACTCTCAATTGTACTCATTCATAATGCAGAGCAACCTGTAAAGGTACTCCAGGACACAGTCGACGAGAACGGAGTTCGCACAGTCGTCGAATATGGCGTGAACGATGAGGGCAAGAAGGTCAAGGTACGTATATCGTCAGAGTATACGTCTTTGCAATGTCATGACGCTATATCATAGATCACGAGGAAGACAAAGCGTGTCTTGCAGAAGGCCGCAGTCCCGCACGCCGTCGCAGAGCGCAAGACGTGGGCCAAGTTTGGCGACGAGAAGGGCAACAAGCCCGGCCCGGATCGCGCGACTACGACTGTCGGCGAAAATGTGTACTTGAAGCTCTCGGCGGGTAACAAGGTTCGCCAATATCCAGTGGTTCTATTTAGGCCCTGTTTGACAATATCATCCAGTCTTCTGAGCCGGAAGCGACCCCGGAGGCGACGATGAAGGCCAACCTGCAAAAAGCCGGCGCCGGCAAGCTCACGTGTCGTCTGTGCAAGGGCGCTCACTTTACCGCAAAATGTCCGTACAAGGACTCGCTGGCCGGCCTCGACGGCGCACAGCTCGAGGCACCGCCCGCAGGCGACGACGACGATGCCGCCGCTCCCGCTGCTGGTGGACCTCCAGGTGCAGCGGCATCGGCCGGCGGCCCAAGCAAATACGTGCCGCCATCCATGCGCGCGGGCGCACGGGGTGCAGGCGAGAGTATGAACCGTCCCGGCGGCAACCGCGACGATCTGCCCACGCTCCGTGTCACCAATATCTCCGAAGATGCACAAGAGCAGGATTTGCGCGACTTGTTCGGCACGTTCGGTCGTGTGGCGCGCGTTTATGTCGGTCGCGATCGCGAGACGGGCATTGGAAAGGGCTTTGCGTTCATCAGCTACGAGGATCGCACACACGCGGAGAAGGCGATGCAGAAGATGCATGGACGTGGATACGACAGTCTTATCCTCAACGTCCAGTGGTCTCGTACGTGTTGCACTATCTCGTCCAAAGTCATCAGGCTGACCATGAATCACAGAACCGAGGCCAGAGCAGCGCTAAGTGGTGTTTCTTCTCTCTTCGACGATGTATTCTTCGTCGACTGTATGCTGCCCGTCTCATGATGTACCATGGCCTGCACCTTTGTATGGTTCTATTCATGCTTGTCTATCTGGAGCGCGACGGGCGTGGCTCGTTGTCATCATGGATGAGTGTATTGCGCTGGCCATGGTCATAGGCGGGATCCTACAGGTCTGGGATGACCATTGTCTGTCCACCTCGACCCTGGATGCGAGACTTGGTATCCGGTCACACACTGGCACTCGTGTGCGGCAAACGTCCATCGTGCCGTTCTCATGCCTTACGCAGAGCTACTGATAAAGTAACCACCTACGCAGGCGTAAACATCCCATGCGTTGATGAATAGTATCAGCACGTTCATCGGGGCCCCCCATACATACTGAGGGCACCCTGTAGTGTACTTTGCGCCCTGCGTAAGATAGTCATCGGGAACAATACCCTTGTAAGGCGTGATACTATGTAAGGGGATCCAGTAGCAACCTCTCTTCGAAAGGTATATGCCCTTATCCGTGAGGAAGACTATAGTTTACCTCCTTGACGAGTCCATAACGCAAACGTGCATGCGCTCCATCTCCCGTGATACCATTACTGTCGACCTCCCTCATCAAACTAGCTAACCGCTACGAAAGTAGCCGGTGGGCCGGTGCTACTTATAACGATCTTATCTTCATGAGGTGGTGATGCCGGAAGCACGACGAACATCGTGCGCAGGCGACGCGCGCGTTGTTCGTCAATGAACCACCATGATGATCTACGCCTCGGTCGTCGACTGTAGCAGATGCTCTCGGCCGTCGGCCCAAGCCTTGCGTGAAGGCTTTGACAACTATGCCTTGTGTGTCCTCCGAGAGGTGGTGTTTGGGGTGCACAGCGCGGCGAGAGTACCGAGCTCAAGTGAACGGGAGCCATCCCGAGTCCCTGCGGATTCAGGAGTACTGCTCCGGGAGTCCGTATGCGCACATCTCCATCACTTGTCTACAGCACCTGGGGCTATCCGGAAATGTCGAATGGTTTACTAAGGCTGGAGTGACAAAGGTACCTGACGCAAGTTGCTGGCCGAATAGCCACGCACAGATCGTCGACGCGAAAAAGCTTCCTCTGGGCTCGGTATATAACCAAGAGAGCGGTCCGTCCTGGACACCAGTCAACTCACTACTCTTTCCTCTACCTTGTCGATCGTCTAGTTCCAAACCATGTCTACTACCTCTTCCATCGACGTCCTTGTCGTGAGTAAACTGCTTCCAGTCTTGTAACTTGTACGTCTGAACTGACAATGTTTTTCAGGTCGGCGCCGGCCCTGTCGGCCTTACGGCTGCGCTCGCACTCGTCCAAAGCGGCGTCAATGTGCGCATCATCGACAAGCAGCCCATCCAGAACGTCGGCCAACGTGGCGCGGGTCTTACCGTACGCGCGATCCTCTTCAACGCAACTTTGCTCCTCATTGAACGCATCCCCAGCCCCGCACGCTCGACGCCTTCCATTATCTGGGCGTCCTACCGGACATCAAAAACGCCGGAGGGCCAATGGTTCCAATGCAGGTACGGAACGAGCGGCTGTCTCTATGCCATTTTGATGGGCACATTTACTGCGAGCCGCGGGTGCTGAATGACGATTTGCGCAGGCGCACAATCCGATGGGCAAGCCCGTCCGGCAGTGGATGATGATCCCGCCTTTCGACGTCACCCCCAACGTTCCGGAGGTTCGCCGTAACTTCTTCGCTTGACCCCCAGTACGGAGGTGAACTGATTGTCCTTGTCAACAGCCCAACCATGTTCTTCTCGGTCAAGACTCTACATCTCGGGTACTACGCACGCATCTCGAGGCCCGCGGTGTGAAGGTTGAGACGTCTGAGCTCGTTACTCTCAAGCAAGACGCGGATGGAGTGACCGCTACTATCAACCATGAAGATGGGGCTACGGAGACTGTTCGAGCGAAGATCCTTTATGGCGCAGATGGCGCGAAAGGTAGGCCGTGTCCATATCATACCCAGTGCAGTGCGCTCATCGTGCGCGTAGGTGTTACTCGCAAGCTTGTACAAGCACCCTTCATCGGCGAGTCCCCAGACATCAGTCAGCTCATCGGCGACGTCGAGCTCTCCGGCGTCGACCGCGCAGTACGTCATCCTCAATGCATGGATCGACCCAACACTCACTGATGGTTTCCACCAGCACTGGAATATCTACGGTGACGCGGATGGGAACAAGCTCATGATTCGCCCCGCACCGGAGGTCGATAACCTCTACTTCATCGTCGCGTCTGGACCAGCTCTAGATATCCAGAAGGCCCTGGCCGATGATGCTGTTGTGCTCAACTTCTTGCACGACGTGACCAAGAACGCGGACATCAAGCTGTTGAAGAAGCGTGTATTGGCGGAGTGGAAGTGAGATACCGCCCACTCTACTACTTGAGACACTCTCCCGCTGACACATGTCCAGGCTGAACGTCCGTATGGTAGACAAGTTCATGTATGGGCGGGTGATTCTTGCTGGCGGTGAGTTTGAACGTACCGCTCGCCTTACTTTTCACTCACGACTGCGTAGATGCTGCACATTGCCACCCGCCTGCCGGTGGTCAGGGACTGAACTCTGGTGTCATGGATGCGGTGAGTATGCGCAACCGATGCGTTGATTGGACATGGATCTCAACCCATCTCCCAGATGAATAGCGCCTGGAAAGCCGCGCTCGTCTGCAAGGGTCTCGCCCCCTTATCCGTCCTGGATACCTATACAAGCGAGCGTCACCCCGTCATTCAAGAGATGTACGTAGCGCTCGTGTCGAAGGATGCGACCTCATCATGATTGACCTTACTTTCAGGCTTCAGATCACAACCGGCATCTTCCAAGGCTTTGGCAAGACGGATGCCAAAACCTTCTCTTTTGATAACCCCATCGCACTACGCCAGCTTGGCGTGCACTGCCGCTGGAGTCCCGCTGTGCGCGATGAACTCGATGGTACTCCGGTAGAGGGCGACTCTACAGAAGTCAAGATCACCGGCAGCACTTATGGCTCCAACAGCCCGGACCGTCCGCACGCTGGTGATCGCGCACCCGACGCACCCGCGCTTGTTGGTGCCGACGGAAAGGAGACTCGCTTGTTCGAGATCTTCTCAGTGGCCCGTCACACTGTTTTGATCTTCGATCCAAGTGTCGCGCAGGATGTGGCAGCGGCTGTAGCTAAGCTACCCGAAGGCGTCGCTCGCGCTATTGTGCTTCAATCCGCAGATAATCTGGCTGGCCAGGCCGTCGAGACTTATACCGATAGCCAGGGGCATGCGGCGCGCTCGTATGGAATCGAGAGCGGCGTTAAGGTCGCTATTATTCGGCCTGATGGCGTTGTCGGTGCTGTGTTGCGAGGCGCCGAGGGTGTACAGACTTACTTCACTGGGATCTTGAAGACGGTTGCGTAAGAGGAAGGATATGTAGGATATCGTGTAGGATATGGAGCACTTCATTGTTTTATGATGATGATTGAGAGTCACCATACGCCGTCCGGACATGACCAACAATAGGCTCAAACTTTCTGTGCACTGTTGACAAGGTCTTCGCCAGAGCTTATTCTGCCGCTGAAGAAGGGGCGCGCTGCATTCGTTGGAAGTACTGTGCTTGTAATGAGGGAACCGCAATATCGAGCGCTGTTTGATGGATCCGGATGAGAACTCGGCGATAGCCTCTCCAAACGCCGATGTCCGTTGATGCAATGATGGCGGAGCTCGAGGGCGTTAACCCGGGTTGTCCGCACCCACCACTACTGTACAAGGAGGGTTCTATCATTATGCATCATGCTCTACTGAGCGTTGCTCATCCCTGTACTCCCTATTGGGCTGTCTCTTTGTCTGTGCTACTAACTTTCTCGGAGAGCGATGCACTGGCTGGCGTGCGGTCTCTTGAACCGGCAAGCAGTGAGCTGCCCGGTACACATTCTAAGGGCTGATAGTGACCGTTCTCTGGGTATTGTTCCACCGAATATTTAAATTAACACCGCATTCCTACCAAAACGGAAGCGTATACTGAGCAATGACTCCAAGGTCTCCTCAGATCAGCAGGCCTCAGCTTGGGTACGCTTTGTTCTTGAACATCGTAGTGACGCCACGAGCTCATTGTGCTAGGTAGTGCCATGACTTAGATTGCACGAATGATAATCGATGACGAAGCATCGAAAATACACAAAGGAACTCCGCTGTGGCCTAGTGCAAACCTAGTGCTACTCCATGATGGATACTTAGTTGGTGCAGACGAGGACGCCGCTCGCGTTGGTCTCGCATGCTGAAAGAGGCGGTGAGCATCGCGGTATCTAATGTCTGCACAAGCAAGACAACTCACTGCCTTCGTTGCCGCCTTGCCAGGCACAGCTGTGGCCGACGCCGTAGTGGTTGCTGCCGTTGCACGCGTCGACTATAAACAACATGAGCTTGGGCGTCTACGACGGAGAACACGAGGACAAACCTGGGTTATCCGCGAGAGCGACGTCACGACGGACAGAGGCGGCGGCGCCCGCGCCACCGACCATGGAGGCGACGGCGACGCTGAATGCGAGAAGGACGTTGGAGAGCTTGAAGATCATGGTCAAAGTGGTTCTGTGGCGGAAGTCTTGTGCCAAGGCGTAGCTGGGAGCTGGAGGGTGAGCTGTCCAGCTCAGATGCTTTTATACGTCTGTCGCATATGCATAATCATACGTAGGGACTTCACGCCGGACGTCTCTCTCCGGCTATACCTCAGTCGAGCAGCGCACGCTTCCGGAGTACCATGACAGCTCGGCTAGCGCCGTCGTGATCTGTACAGCTTCGCCTCGCGCTCTCGGAGCACCTCCTGTTCTGGGGTGTAATAGGCGAGTCTTCGAAGGATACAATGAGAGTCGCGTGTTTCATGAATATCATTGACAGTTGTCCCATTGGAGCGAATGGCTGTAGTGCGAGTTGATCGTCAACCTTCGACCCTTCGCTTATTTTGAATTGATTTTTAGGGTCGTGCATCTTCGACTCCGGGTCCGGGCGCATCACCCACGTCAGGTGAATCCCGGAGATGAATGCAGGCGACGAGAAGATCGTCGATGTCAAGCTCATTGGGTTTGCGTGGTGAACTCACAATCTCCCCAAAACGCTCCGAAAGTGTTGATCTCGGAACCCTCAGACGTTACTGGGCATCTGCATAGTCTGCACGGTGGACGCTTTGCGTTGGATACCTCGAAGGTTTCCCTGGTGTTCCATGTTGACGCGTCAGTAATGATGAGAGAAACGGGCACTCGTTTCATGATACAATACACAAAGAAGACCAGGGTTGTTGTTCCCCACATCTCATCCACTCCACCCTTCTCAGCTCAGCGTCGTCAAAAGCCCGTTCTTTTACGTCTGGCGCGCCCCGCACTGCATTCAACGGCTAACAACTACAACTATTCGGATATTATACAGTCAGTGGAGCTCAACACGGGGCCGTACTGATTTGAGGGTTATGGTAGGAAGTCGTTCAATCATCTACTGCTTCGGAACGCTTACTCCGTACTCGCAGAGAGCGGGAGACTTGGATGACCGGTTGCCGCGTGCAGAAACGTATAAAGGCTCGACGAGTCTTGGCCGTGGATTGCAATCCCGCTTCATACTCTTCAGCGCATCGACAACACAAGCATCCTCTTCATCTCATCTCCCACTCATCCTCATACACAACATGATGTTCAAGCTCTCCGCTGCCTTCCTCGCTGTCGCGACGCTCTTCGTCACTGTCAATGCGCTCGCCGACAACCCCGGTACATATCCATATACTTCGTAACCTTTTGATCTGGACTGACCATCTCCACTTTACCAGTGGATGCCTGCAACGGCTCCAACCACTACGGTGTCGGCCACAGCTGCGCCTTCAAGACGTCCGACGGCAGCACTTCCCAAGGCAGTGAGTACAGCTCGGCGCTTCGTCTATGACTCCGTGATCTAACTCGCTGCGTAGCTTGCCAGACCGACGCCTCTGGTGACCTCGTCTGCATCCCCAACTGAGGAAGAGACTCGATCAAGGTCTTGTGGGCTCCAATCATACTGCGCTATTTGCGAAGTAACTCATACCTGAGAAGTTAGATCAAGGGCTCTTCCAGCCGGAGTGCATAACGTTGATGCGCGACGGATTGCGCACTGCGATGCAGAGCTCGATAGTATCTATTACCGTTCGCTTCCCCGACTCCTTGATGTATGATCACCGTTGCTCTATTTGATTGAAAGCCTGTGTTTGCGATGAGTCAGCGTAAGAAGGATCTATTCTGAGAGAGAAAACGGGCCGAGGGAGCACCGCATTAAGCACTAAGACTAGGGTTGGACTGCATGAACGCGCAACCGCCATTTGGAGTACGAATACGACGCCCACATCGGTGATGATAGCAAACTCTTATTCCGCGGCCTGTCGATCTCGTGCGACTATTATACAACATCATATCATTCCCAGATACAGCATTTGGGTACAATACATCGCGCTTGGCGTCTATCTTCGTTATTTCCGTCCTACATTCTTCCATCCTAAGCCTTACAGAGCTGCGAGCTCGTTTGTACCGACCATTCATTCCTAGACAGCAAACGTTTAGTAGCGATTTAGCACAGGAAGCAAACTGCTTTACCTTGCGGTACTTCTGGTAGTAGTGGATGATACCCGTGGTCGAGCTGTCGTGGCCCTTGACGTCGTCTGGCTTGTCGAGCTGAGCCAGGATGGCCTTCGCGAGGACTTTGCCGAGCTCAACACCCATCTGGTCTGCAGAGTATATGAGTACAGTAGCCACAACGACGGCATGAAGGCGTACCGAACGAGTTGATACCCCAGATGACACCCTGGGTGAAGATCTTGTGCTCGTAAAGCGCGATGAGCGAGCCGAGGACAGCGGGCGTGAGGAGCGGGAACATGATGCTGTTGCTCGGACGGTTGCCCTCAAAGACCTTGCTCTTCACGAGCGTCTCGCTTGCGCCAGAGCCGAGCTCCTTGCGGACCTCCTCCTCGGTCTTACCAAACGCGAGCGCTTCAGGCTGCGCGAAGTAGTTCGAGAGCAGGATGCGGTGGTGCAGCGAGTTGCGGATCGGGTTATGCGTTGTCGCGGGTGCGATGAAGTCGGTTGGGATCAACTTGGTACCCTGGTGGACAAGCTGGTAGAACGAGTGCTGGCCGTTGGTACCTGCTGCACCCCAGATGATAGGCTACAGATGGCCACGTAATGAGTGCATATCGACTGTATGGTCACGATTCTCGACGACTTACACCGGTCTGGTAGTTGACACGTTGGCCCTGCTTGGTGATGAACTTGCCGTTCGACTCCATGTCGCCCTGTATCATGTCAGTCCGGTTCTCATACAAGCCTGCGGCAAAGTATCCTACCTGCTGGAAGTAGTCGGCGAACTTATGCAAGTACTGATCATATGGCAAAAGCGCGTGCGTCTGAGCGCCTGTGACAAGATTAGATTGACGCTCAGTGATGTGCTCGATTGGCTTACCATAGAAGTCATTGTACCAGATACCGATAACGCCCAACAACACGGGAAGGTTCTTCTCCAAAGGCGTCTCCTTGAAGTGCTTGTCCATGTCGTGCGCGCCCTTAAGGAGCTCCTCGTACTTGTCAAAGCCAATGCAAAGCGCAATCGAAAGGCCGATGGCGCTCCAGAGCGAGTAACGGCCACCAACCCAGTCCCAAAACGCGAACATGTTCGACTCGGCGATGCCGAACGCGGTAACAGCCTTAGTGTTGGTCGAAAGCGCGACGAAGTGTTTCGCGACGTGAGCCTTGTCACCCGCTTTAGCGAGGAACCAGTCACGGGCGGACTCGGCATTGGTGATCGTCTCCTGGGTGGTGAAGGTCTTCGAGGCAATGATGAAGAGAGTGGTCTCCGGGTCAAGATTGCGGACAGTCTCGGCAAGATGAGTGCCGTCGATGTTGGAAACGAAGTAGGCGTCAAGGTCGCGCTTCGAGTAGGGCTTCAGCGCCTCGGTAACCATAACGGGGCCGAGGTCGGATCCGCCGATGCCGATGTTGACGATGGACTTGATTGGCTTGCCGGTGTAACCCTTCCACTCGCCGGAGCGGACGGCGTCGGTGAACTCCTTCATGTGCGCCAGAACGCCAGAGACCTCATCAACACCAGCCTCCTGGATCTTGAAGTCGTCGAAGTTGCGGAGAGCGACGTGAAGCACCGCGCGGTCCTCGGACGTGTTGATGTGCTCGCCGGCGAACATCTTGTCGCGGACACCCTCGACATCAGCCTCACGAGCGAGGTCAAGCAGAGTAGCGAGGATCGGCTCGGTGATTAGGTTCTTTGAGTAGTCGAGCAGGAAGGTGTTGGACGCGTTCGAGGAGGCGACATACTCCTTGTGGAACTTGTCAAAGCGGGCTGGGTCCTTGGCGAAAAGGTCGCGGAGGACGAGCTGCTCCTTCTCGGTGTCGTAGATCTGTTGCAGCTTCTTCCAAGCGCTATAGTCTGTCGATCAACATCAGTTCTGTCTGCTCCCCCCTATACGGAGTCAGGATATACCTGAAGCAAGTTTGCCCGCCATTATGTTGTCGTGAAGATGAGGATCGGTCAGGTCGCCCTGGGCTCGTCGCGACCTTTATGACGCCTCTGAGCGCGACCCGGCCCGGGCCGCCGAGTGTGCCCTTGCGCCCGCCCGCATCTTCTTCCTGACGGCCACGAGCGGCTTCGGACCAACGTTTGTGACAAATGCTCAACCACCAACCGAGCATCTTACCATTCACTGTTGCTCAAGCTCAAGGGCGTTCTATCACAGTAGCCCTATTCGCGATGTCTGTACACCTTGTTGAAGCTTACATACAGCGACGGGAAATATTGCTCAGCATAGCGCTCGCACCCCTCGTCTGAGTTCTCTCGTCTTGACCGCCGGCTCTCACGTCCCGTGATAGCGCTTGTATTAGCTCTTGCGTCCCCGTAAGTAACATGCTCCCGCTACAGACTATGCAGCAAGCGCCTGAACGATCTCCGCCTTTGCCGTCTACGGTAGAACCTCATCGTTCCTGTCTGACCTGCATGCTGCGACGCTTATTGTGAGGTTACCTAAACTTGCTTTCTCTCAAGGGTCTCGCTCGGATCACTCATACGGCAGCGATCACACAGGTGTGAGGTTCATGACTGCAGAAAACGACCAGCGCCCGAGTCGGTAAAGATGAGGTAGGAACGTGAGGTACGGGTATGGGATTGAGTAGGCTGTGAGTATTCACGACGGATGGGGAAGAAAGTCTTCAAGGATCATCGAGTGGATGTGCCGGACTCGCATCATCTCGCTCAAAGACCAAGTCCTTTCAGGAGAGGCTCGAGAGCCGATAGGAGACCAGTCACGCCATCGAGCTGACGAGGGTCAAGGGCTCCTTCGTCACGGCGAAGCGCGCCTCCACCAAGTCCGCCTCCTAGGAGAGGAGCGAGTTCTCCCAGTATCCCATCAAGACCGGGGCTGCCGTTACCGCTGATCTGACGAGGTCCGACGACTAACGGCTACATGAGCTCAAAGCCTTCGACTCATATTCAATACGCACCGATGTCGCGACCACCCAGTAGGCTCCCGAGTCCGCCGCTACTGCCGACCTGACGAACGTCCAAGCCCGAACCAGGAGCTTTTGAGCACTTAGCGGTCGCCCAATCTGAAGGTGATGTCACATACTAGACTTTCCAGGCCGCGCATTCCCGCTCGCGCCAGCGACCTGTCCGGCTCCAGTTGTGCCGGCTTTGCCGTCGGCACCGCTACCACCAAGGCCGCCCAATAGCGAGGTGAGAGAGCCAAGCGATGAGAGCGATGAGAGACCGCCACCGCCGAGCTGGCGACGGTCTGAAGTTATGCGTCAATGAAAGAGTCCTCACGAGTCTAGAGATAGTAAAACGCACCGACGGTATGCTCGTCACGACGAAGAATGTCTCCGAGAAGGCCGTCCAGGATAGGGCCAAGCTCTGGTAGGAGGCCGACAAGAGCAGATAGTTGCCGCTCTTCTACAGTCCTGGCGGTCAACGGCAGGGCACTGGCTGCGCCAACAAAGACGAGGGCAGTTGATACGACTGTACGGAGGAATAGCATCGCGGGTCTTGTGGTTGTTTGAAACTGAGAATCGTTGAATTGTGGGCGCGAATGCTCGCGGGTTTATATCCTACATGCATGCGGTATGGTTTCCATATAAAGAGGGTGTCACTCTTGTTGCATTATTTGCCACTTTGCTCGGTATGGACGCTCGCCATTGAAGATCCCCCGTTTCAATGTGTTTCATGTCCAAACTTGGCTCTTCCAGATCCTAATCGCGACGAGGCATGAACGACAGCAGATCGATATATGAAGAGCATAGCAATGCTTGTAATGATGTGCTCTCATCCAGTGATCTCCAAGCCCTGTGGGTTCATCGTATGTATCCCATAGACGCAGCGTACTACTGGGTAAGTTCGAGAATGCCTGGCAGCAGGCAGGCCATGTCATGGTTCTGTCGCCCTGCCTGATTCGGCAAGCATCAACAGGCCACGTGAGGATACATGGCTGCGTCCTGCATACTCCCTAGAACATTGGCATCGAGTGGACGAGATGTACACCGTGGGCAGAGTCAAACCGAAGATAGGAGCGGGCGCCGCGCAAGCAATTCCCACCGCTGCTGCTGAATCGCGTACACCCGCAGCGGTCATCTACCCACTCGATTTTATCCCGCGCTATCTTGTCCGCTGACCTGGACGTAAGATTAGCCACCATGTCCACTGCTAGATTGGCGTTTTGCACGGACCAGCCGCCAACAGCACGATAACATGACCATCGAGCTGGCGATAGATAATTACTGAGCTGCTTGACCGCCCGTTTCTTCATCTACTGCTTCCATTGACCAGGCGATGAGTCAGAGATGACATTCATGAAATGGGAAAGGTGGTGGTCACGGGTAGACAACGTTCGCGACGCGATGCGACGAGCCTGCTCAACTGCTTAGGAAATGGGTCGTGGGAAACGCGTTTCTTCGGCCGATGAGTGGCGAGTCATGAACGGTCAATCTCTGCTCTCGCTATCACCTATATAATCCATATCATCGCGCACAAGTGTCATCCACAGACCTTTCCTTGTGTTGCGATGACTACGCCAGAGCCCGTATCCCGCAAGGCAGCGCACTTCACGCTTGAAAACGTCATCCGGCCGAATATCCTCGCTCTTCATCCGTACCGATGCGCGCGCGACGACTACTCCGAAGGGATTCTGGTCGACGCGAACGAGAACGCTATCGGCCATGCAATCTCTAAAGCTACATCCCCGGCAGACGGCGCGCAGGATATGGCTCACATGCTCGACCTGGACTTGAACCGCTATCCCGATCCCTCGCACCCAGCCATCAAATCGCGCATCGCCGAGCTGCGCGGTTTGCCTGGATCGGGATACGTCTTTCTGGGCGTAGGATCGGACGAGTGTATTGATCTACTCATGCGTATATGCGTGAAGCCGGGTGGAGAGGAGAAGATTCTCACCTGTCCGCCGACGTACGGGATGTACGCCGTTTGCGCGCAAGTGAACGATATCGGTGTGGTCAAGGTTCCGCTAGAACTGAGCGGCGACAAAGGAGAAGGTGGTGAGGAAGGTCGGTTCAGTGTCCGTGTTGATGAGGTAAAGCATCTCGTATGCTGACTTAGATCTCGAGTCTGACAACTGCTATTACAGGTAAAGCAGGTTCTGGCATCGGACCCCTCGATTAAGCTCGTGTTCTTGTGTTCTCCCGGTAATCCCACTGGGACTTTGCTGTCTCTCAAGAGTATTCGGGCCATATTGGACTTTGAACCGTTCAAGGGCATCGTGATGGTCGATGAGGCGTACATTGACTTCTCGGAACCCGGTACCAGTGCTGCACAACTCATCGAAGAATACCCCAACCTGTGTGTCATGCAAACGCTTAGCAAGAGCTTCGGCCTTGCCGCTATTCGGTACGTCCTTTCTATCTTCTGATGTCCCACGGTCTGATATCTTGTTCAGTTTGGGTATCACGTTGGCACAACCACCATTGCTACAAATTCTTTCGAACACGAAGGCACCGTACAATATCTCAACACCGACCGCCTACCTTGCACAACAAGCTCTATCCCCAGAATCATTGTCTGTCATGAGATCCAACGTGCAAACGCTCTTAGAGCAGCGCACGGCGCTTCTGGGTTTGCTCAAAACCGTGGATGGTTTGGGTCCGGCGATCGGCGGTAACGACGCAAACTTCATCATGGTCCCCGTGTTGGCGAAGGACGGAAGCGGAACTCCCGATAGCGCGCGAGCGCAACGCGTATACAAGACGCTTGCGGAGGAAGAGGGCGTCGTCGTGCGTTATCGCGGGAACGAATTGGGTTGTCCAGGATGTCTACGCGTCACCGTCGGGACGGAGGCGGAGAACAATGTTGTTGTGGAGAAGATGCGTAAAGTGTTGAAGGCCCTCTAGACATATATTTGCCTGTACTTACCTGTCGATTGCACTCGAGAACCGGCGCCTACGCGCTGCGTCATAGAACGTTGTGGGAACGCGTTTTTACGGTCAGCACATGTGATCGCGTTCGAGGTTAGCGGCGATAGCTCGGAAAGACCGTATTCGCCATTTGCATACCGCGCGAATGCTACTGGTCTGGTGAGGGCGTTGCAGTGAAATTTAAGTAGCAATAGTTCGGTGGACGGACAAATCGCGACCTACTTACCCGTGGCAGACGAAGAAGGTTGGTCTTCACGCCCGTGGGATAAGCCACGAGACTCCGCGAGTCCCGCGCACCCGTGACCCGAGCTCGAAAGGCGTCAGCGCAAACTCAAACCGCCACTTCGCGCGGCTCCCATTCCACTATACCTGAAGACCAGGCCCCAATGCACATAGCTTCGTGTGCCCACTATTCTCAGCGGAGTGGTTTCCTACCGCCGTAATGCACAGGGTTTCACCAGAATGCGTGCACATGCGCAACTCGAACGACCCCGGTTCCAGCTGCTCCGGATGTTCAATTGAGCTTATTTCTTACATCAGGCCATCCCCACCTTCCCCGAACACTTGGAAGGATCCGGTTCCCGTCTGGGCGAGCAGCTGGGTGTGAGCGTCACACGACGCCGGGCCCCTCATATCAATCCTCTCATTTGAAGCCCTTCGACCATCATACATCATGGTTCTTCACGGCTTCCTCCGTTCGCCTGTCGAGGCTCATCAGTACGGATATAGCAGAAGCCTCGGTCATCAGTGTTGGGACTCTACAGGCCGCGGCTTGTGGACCGTGGACCGCAAGACCGACTATATGGTACTTCCAGCATACCTTCTGCGTGGAGAATCAAGGGCAGGCATGAAACCCAAACTCTCAAGGCTTACGCTGGCGCCTGCAACCTCTTTTGCGCTGAGCAAACCAGTAGCGATCACTGGCTTTGGGTTCTCTCCTTTGAGCTGCACGGAATAATTATAAGGCTCCCGATACCCTTTGGCAGATTATACGTGAAGAATACACGGACTTGTGCATCTCTGGCCTGCGTCATCTGGTGCTAGTGAACGGCGAATGCTCGTGTGCTTCTGTTACGAATACTTCGCATCACCGATATATCCGCCCGCTCCATCACGACGAACAACGCCTAAAAGCGTCGAAGTTCTTCTCTGCGCCGACCTCTTCGACAAGTCAAGATCCTCGCGGCGACCACAAGTATATAGTCGATCTTACAAGGCCAAAGCACGAGGCAACCCCGTCTGCATTCTGCACCTTCCGCCACACTCGGACGGTGCGACTGCTTGTGATATAGCCATTGGGTGACTGTTGTGCCAGCTGTACGAGCTCACTCTGTAACTGTAAATATGGGCGCGTACGACTTGACCTTGGGTATGTCCGCTCTCTTTGACCGGCGTTTTCTTGGCTCTGATGACATCTGCAGGTGTCTTGCTCATCGGCATCTGGTTCAATACCTACCTTTATGGTATCGTCACGTACCAGTTCGCTGCGTACTGGCGCACGCGTATGTCACAACCATTGCTCGTACACTACGGTCGCGCTGATACCTTGTAAGCCTTCGGAGACACCCTCGCGGTCAGGTATGCTCAGCACCGTCTACCTCGTAGGCTTCAGACTAATGTATCTTCAGGGGCATGGTCTTGTTCTTGTTCCTGGTGGACACTATCCACAGCGCATCGTAAGTAGGAAAACGACGGCCCCTTGATGTATGCTTATCCGTCTCTGTAGTGTTCTGTACATGTCATGGTATTACTGGTGCGTGACTAGTCTACCTGGCTTTTCGTCCATACTGACGACCGACCAGTGTGACAAACTACGACAACCCAGCGTCGCTCGCGGTAGCTGTATGGCCTTACTGCTTCACTCCGATTGCTACGGCGTGTACGTCGAATTATGGGTGAATCATAGCGAGTATTCGCTCATGCTCTCGAACAGTGGCAGCCTTCTGCACGCAGGTCTTCTTGGGATACAAGTACGTTCTGTGTCAATGGTACAGCTTGATCACTGCTGAGCGCTCGCAGGGTCTACCGTCTGCTGCACAACAACAAGTTTGTGTACGGATTCCTGCTTGTAGTGGCATTCGTACGTGTCCCGAATCTGCTATTGCTAAGGTTTACTGATTGCTAGTAGATCTCTATGGCCCTGGGCATCTACTGCGGCGCAAAGGCTTGGTCCATCCTTGTGTAAGTACATGCGCTCTTTCACCTGCCTTTACTGAAGATGCCATAGACTCGATCAACTAGCTGTGCTCAACACGCCCGTCACTGCCTGGCTATCGATGCAAGTCGGGCTGGATCTCCTCTTATGCGGTACGCTATTTCATGTGCTCCTTGACGGCTACCGTATACTGATGCAATCACTTCCAGCGCTCCTCGTCTGGTGCTTCCTTAAGTCCCGCACGGGCTTCCGCAGGACAGACCATATCCTGAATCGGTTGATTCGCGGTGCCATCCAGGTGAGTGTCTATGCTCGCTAGCGTGCTCTATCTCTGAAGAAGGCAAACTTAGACGGGCGTCTTTGCTGCCATCTTCGCCCTTGCTGATCTAGCCACCTTCATCCAGTATCCCGCGGTAAGCAGAATGTTACCTTCCCGTTGAATCTCATGCTGACGTTCCTCGTAGGCCAACTTCTGTAAGCAGCGATTACATGTTACATTTCAGTGAAGTTGACATACTGACTGCGCAAATGTTCAGATGGCATGTTCGCCATTCCCGTGAGTGCCTACCGCTTGGGGTACGTGGTGTCGAGCTGACGTTCTTCTACAAGATCGGCCGCATTGTGAGTTGCTTTGGTCTCCATAGTAAGGCATCTATGCCACTTTCTAACCAAACCTCGTCAACGTCCTCTAGTACACAAACGTACGCCGCTCCTCCTCCCATGCCAGCCTTGACCATCGACTGATCCCGATCTCAAGACGCTCCTTGACACGCTCCTTACTCGCGAGAGACTGCGCACCGATATGAGCTCTGGAGATCACAAGAGCATCCCAGCTCTCGCTGTAGGTTGCTCATTTCGCGCATTGAAACTTCCGCTGACTATGACGCAGCCTCGCAGCGACGTTAGCTGGACTCGCTCCGGATCTGGTTCCGCCAACGCTGCCTACCAGCTCGACGACCGTACAGGTATCGACACGACCCTCTCTGTCGGCGTCAAGTCTATCGGCCTCGCTCCAACATCGAGCATTGGTGATCACGAACTCGATCACAAAACGCCAGCCATGGCGTAAGCGCTAAGCGGCCGAGGCTTACTTCCGCGACAGCACGTCTCTTACCGGGACCCGCCCAAAGCTGCGGATGGTACACATAACCTCCTATTACTGTCATGTCTGAGCCGCATTACCTGTCGAACTACATCTGCAGTACAGACTTTGCTTCCCTCTCGTGTGCCGTCAGCCTAAGGCCGCCTCGGCTCACAAGATGAACATATACCAGCTTCCAAGTCTGGTTCGACGTGATGCCAGTATGCAGCCCAATCATCTTGGCTTTCGACGTCGCTCGCACGTACGACTTCCTCTCTGCTCAGTGCGGACTTAAAGCAAGTTGGGCATGCGTGACAGCTCGGTCTCCTATAGGGAAGCAATAGCTATGGCTACGCCCGATCGCTTCCTTGCGGCCTTTGACGGAGAGAAATAGGATGTCCAGCTCTACGTCTCTTATAAGACGTCGTGCGGACACTGGTCTCAATATCATTCACCCGTTGCCTTACCCCTCGAAGCTATCTAAAGATGCTCGCTAGACTCTCTTTCATTGCCGCCGTGCTTTCTACGCTCTTTCTCTTCACAACTGCTGCACCTGCGTCCCTTGTAGCCGGTATGTCTCCTAGGCCCATGCATATTCGTCGAGACTCAACCACGGCTACCCAGAACTTGAGCGGCGACAGGGGGCACTCACTTCAGCCGATGGCATTATTGGCGACGTACTCAACGTGACTTCCGGTGTGTATTGCCCAAGCGTCTCTCGCAACTCCGCTGCTGTTTACTCACATGCTGTCAGGCCTGCGTCGCGACACGGCTGAGCTTTCGGCAAAGCCAAGGCAATTGGACAGTATTACGGGCCTTGTTTCTAGCCTTCTTGGCGGAGTCGCAGGAGGCTCTCCGCCGTCAACGCCGCCTGCTTCATCCTCACCGATGCTTCGTCGCCAAGGCCTTCTCACCAGTGTCGACACTCTCCTCGCCGACGCTGAGGCCGTTGGAGGACGTGAGTGTCCTGTGCAAGCTAAAGTACACGACTGGACGACTGACACATGCTTCTCAATGATAGTTGTCCGTCGCGGTGAAGTCGAATTCAAGCTTGAGAATGGCGACAAGAGCGTCGACATGAAGTACGACCTGGACAAGATCAACGACGAGGAGGAAGACTGCGACGAAGATAAAGAAGATGCGGGGGACGCGAAGGAGTCTCATCAACCCGAGGCGGACGAGGACGAGGATGAGGACGATGAGGACGAGGATGAGGACGATGAGGACGAAAGTGATGAAGAGGACGAGTGGACCAAGTAGAGATCCAAGTGGTAGCAGGCTGAACGGACATTGCAATGGCTTCCTTATTTATTTGGGTTGTAAGACACTCCTTGACTGCCATTCATTCATAGATGTATTGTCTGTACGTTAATCGTATCTGTGCATATCATTCCTTAAAACCTCATCATCCAGCCCTCGGCTGGATCGTAGAGCGCTCTGGCGAAGGTATAGGTTAGCCATGGCGGGAATCTAGCCAACTTCCTGCGTGACAGGCTCCGACATCTGCATCAAGCTTGATCTCGCATGCATGAGCGGATCTGGCACCGGCGAGTCCCGTCAGTACATCATAGTTTAGAGGGCTTCTACGAGCACGCACTGTCTCAACGCTCCGATGCCCTTTCTCCCGCTTCTGGGCAGCCAGCCGTCGCCTCACTGGCTTCGTCAGGCTCTCTGCCGTCACGAATGTAGCACCCTTAGTCTTCCAGCCAGCGTGAAGCACGGCATGAGGTGCGGAATGGCAGTGCACGATAGAGCTGGGCATACCTCACTCGCCACCGCAGACGTCCGACGCAGTCGAGGTCTACCGCTTCGAGGTCTCCGGCGGCAGGAAGCTCGCTCAGGAGAGCCACATCGTCGTCCGCCCTCGAGCTCAATGTCCCGCACACTGCTCAATGCTCCCAGCAATAGGACCCAGCTTATGTGCAGCCTGTACGACCTTTATCTCGTGCGCCCGTCATGGCAGACAGGCGTTGACAATTCGACTGGTGACTGGTCAAGATCCGGGGAGCATTGGGGGTGTGGAGGGCGCCAGAGGCGAATGTCGTGGCGTCGATAGGAATGCTAGAGAGCCAAAGGCCAAAGCAAGTCCAGATTGTGGCATGGAATGCGGCCATGGTCTGTGCCAACAGTACATATGAAGGATCAGATAGTGGCCGTCGCCGCGCGGGTTGCGGCGCTCGATGCTCGGCGCTCGGCACTCGGTCAACGGATCATAGTAACCCTAACCCTAGCACGGTAGCACGTCCGAGGCCTCACGACGCTCGACGCTCGTCTCTGCTTTGCCCGCCAGCATCATGACGACCTTGCGCTAAACGAATATCCGCTTCCGGACCACAATTCTACTACGCGGATCATCTACGCGCAGTCCAACTCATGCGCTGGAGGACGTTTCAAGGCGGAAATGCCTGGAGCCATTGACGCCGGGATATTCAACCGAAACAGCGCTACCATATGTAGTACGAGTACTCGTCGTACCCGAGGAACTAAGGTTCTATGAAATGCCACAGTGCGAGTGAATCTGTAGCGGGCCAACACAATCCACTGCCATCGTCCTACAAAGCCACATGTACTAACGAGTGGCACGTCCCAAACCTGGAAGAAACACGGGCGGCGCTACTTCTTCTGACCCCATGCAAGGTAGAACCGCCCATACAGCTTCAGATCTTTGTCCTCCATCGCAGACCTTGCCTCTTCATACAGAGCCTCGGTATAACCGGGCCGTCCGCTCGTTGCTCCGGCGCGTACCATGTTCAACAAGCCGATCCTGACCGTCTCTTCCAAAGCATTCAGCTTCTCATCTGGGTAGGACGATCAGTCCATGAACCTCAAGATACGGTGTTGAGCTCACCATCTGTGTACCCCGTGAATGGAGCATTCAGCTTTTGAGCGACAATGTGGTCTAGCATCCCCGTCTCACGCAATATACGCTCGATATCCTGCGCTATGCCCAGCTCTCGACCGCTCTGACGAAACATATCTCTCTGCCCCGCAAGGAGCTAACATGGGTCGCTAACGGCCCCAATCGACCCTCAGCATCGCGATCGAGCGGGTCCAGTTTCTCTATCACAAGCCATCCATCGGGTCTGAGTAGCTCAGCCAGCCGATTGAGCACTGCAGGCGCGTTCTTGACCTGTGCAGTCGGGAGTTCAGACTATGTTCGCCCTTGACTCAATTAGACCCACTTACATGCATAAGCACTTGACGGATATGTATCAGGTCGAAGCTCTTCTGTTCAAAAGGTATGTTCTCGGTAACGTCTAGGATCTGAAAGTGCGCGTTCGAAGGCAGAACGCTGGACATCAAGCGGTCAGTGAATGCCTCCATGATGCATGCAACAACGTACACTCCATTTGGAAGGGGTGCGATGTCTGTCACTAGAATGTGTGCATCAGGCAGTGCCGCTGCAGCGTCAAGAGCCCTACAGGTGTCCCATGAGCCCGTTCATGTGAGTATATGTCGAATAACTCACCACGCGCCACTACCAGAACTGCATGCCCGCACAGGATGTGGTCAGCACCACTCCTGCTGGCTACAATTGGAAGGAAGACCGACCCTATCTCAAGCACAAACTTGATCTTCGAAGCGTCGATGGGCGCTAGACACAACCTGCCGTCGCCATACCAATCGCGGAGACGAGCGTTGAAGGAATCGAGCCTGGAGTCAATTTCAATCATGCGAGTATAACTCAAAAAACATGGCGAATTCACCTTTCCCGTTCAACGACACTCTTGTTTACGTGCTGTGGGTTGAAGCAAAGTAAGTCGAGGGACAAATCGGCCCATGCGATACGGTGTTCACCTCGAAGTTCTCGCCATATCCGTCAGAGCGACCCATGATAATCGGATGGAGACGGGTTCGAACCACTGGTGCACCTATATAGTGATGCTGGGAGATCGCGTGAGCATAGCTTGAAGCGGGCGTCTCGGTGTACTACAGGTTGGACGTGTCGGCGTCACTCGGGTTTCGGGGAGTTTCTTGCGGGAAAGTTCCCCGGGCCTCATGGCTTGCGAGCGTTATACTGTTGCAGAGCAGATGTGCATTACTACAATCTCGAAGAGCAACAGATATAACGAGCAGTACTTGACCAATCGTAGAGATACAGGGCAAGACCATATCCGTATAAGCTTGGAGACCAAAGAACAGTTGTACGGGCACAGAGCTTTCTCAACATAACGATGGACACATATGAGATGGGTCCGTTCCAGGACAAGAGGGCAACAGTGGAGAGCAGAGCAGGAAGGAAGCAAGTGAGAGTATTCGTATCTGAGTTTAAAGTTGAGCAGCATGGCGGCGACAATAGTGATCAGACACGAGCAGTGAGCCCAACGCATCTTGCGTGATGTTATCCTTAGTCTAGGCTTAGGCTTTGCCTATACCTGCGCGCGAGCCTACTCTCATTATCAGCATATCATACTCCTCGCAGAGCGAGGCACACACACCTTGCGCGCACTTCGCCGCCCTGAACTCTCGTGCTCTTCCACATCCTCTAGACTCGACGCGCTCGCCGAATCACCGATATCTCCAAAACACTCTCCGCCTCGAACGCCCTTTAGACGTCCCGCTATCTCTTATAGCAAAAGAGACGCGGTCCCGGTTCGCGACGTCCGGCGATGTCTCCTCTGGTTGGGGTGATTCGTGAGTAAGCGGAGGAGACGGGTGAAGGGGAGCTCCAGAGCCTGCAGGCAAAGAGGGGCCGGGGGCGCGTGCCGTACTGACGATCTCGGGCTCAGGGTTGTGGGCTGCCGGGAAGACTACGGGGTGGAAGTGCATGGGCAGGCGGTGCGTTCTGACTCAAACGAGGAGCTTGTGAAGGAGGGTGTGGCGGATTTCGCATACGGAGTCCTGAGCATGTCAATAATTGTCAGCGCGGTTGAGTGGAGGGGAGGAGGGGGGAGATGCACCTGCATCGTGGGCGCGAGCAACACGAAGTGCTGTCCGAAGAACTCCCTAGGCAAGGGGTGGAAGGGACACGCCCGCTTGCGGGCGCATACGCGCTCTTGCTCTCGGTCTGTCTGTACACTGATTAGCGCCCTCTCCTCTCTGGAGTAGCAGGAACCACGCACGCATTGTGCTCGCCCTCCTTCAACGCTCCTCCCAACCTCGAAGTGACGAACATCCTAAGCACAGGCGCAGCGAGCGCCTGCGCGACGTCGCTATTCGCATATGTGAGCCAAGCACCTCGCACGGCAGACTTTTAGCGCTGAGGCGCGCGCGCGGAGGGCTGGTGGTGTCGGTCCGGTTCCTACAAGACACACCGTCAGTGACCGACTCTGTAGTAGCACGGGTTATAATACGTACATCTTCGGGTCAGGGTATCGTTGATACCCGCTTTGTCCTCTCACTCCGAGTCTCGAACGCGGCCTCGGGATTCAACCTCGCCAGTCGGGCGGGTACGGCAAGGGCACGGAGATGTGCGCCTCGTCCTCGGCACCTCGTAGTGTGTCTGCGATAATCAGTTCAGAGTATTGAGGGAGGAAGAAAAGGAATGGTGTACCTCAGCGACACAGTTCTCCTAGGTCGACGATAACCGCATCATCGCCGGCCCTCGACCGCGCACAGTGCAAATCATGCAACTTCTAATTTGTCCTCTCCCGCTTCCGTCCAAACAGCTATGCGCCGACCACACGTACGTTCAAGAACTAGGAGCATTGGAGAATGGTGAACCTGTGCATGCGCTTGGAGTCGTGCTCGCAGCTCGAAGTCAAGTGCGCGGCGGGGACGATGGGGCGGACATCAGACGAACCCTAACCCTAGCAGGCTGCAGCTCGTAATTACTAATTAGGACCGCTGGAGGTGAAAAGCGCAGGGATGCCGGGTGTGAGTCACTTCTCCGACCTCATATGAATCGTACTCGCATGACTCCTTATATTTGGTGTCCTTGTGGTTCATTTTCTCTTATACGGCAAGTCTTCCCTGTTTCACGGTAGCTTTGCATTTAGCACCTTCAACTTCACTGCCGTGCACTACTCTTCAGAGACTCTTGTATCGGCGGGTAAACGTATGAGCTCACTACATCGACCTACACGGGCTGAGATCCTGTACTCCATCGACCTTTCCCCAAGAGTTACGCGCATCATGGTCAGTTCGATCGTACAAGATTGGGAAATCTACTCATCCCGAAGAACGATGACGGATTTCCCTATGGATTTCCCCGTGAGCATATTCACGAAAGCTTGTCCAGCATGCTCGAAGTTGTCGCAAATGTGTTCGATGACCTTGATTTCACCGTCTGCGATCTTCTTCGGCACAACGCTGTAAAATTCGGCCAGGTACATATCGTGCCAGTCGATTACGACAAGGGCGCGGATGCTGCGTGAGTACGATTAGCCAATGTCATGCCTCTTAAAGTCTACGAAGAGCGTACGTGATTCGATAGCGATTGACTAGCCACAGATTCTAGGGCATAGATGTCAGCGTCTCCACTCACATCATATACGCAATGCAATACGAACCCGGACCCCAAACGCTTCGGACATCGGTGCGTTGTACGTGGTTATCGACCCACAAATAAGGAAGCGCGCATTCATGGCCGCATTGTAGATAGCCGCTTCGAGCAACGGCCCTCCTACAAGGTCAAGGAAGATGTCGATTGGTCCCAGCCTCTTCAGTTCGGCGGCGATATCATCAGTATGGCGATTCAGAACATGTTTCACCCCTAGACCACGCAGAATTGCAACTTTATCGTCACTTCCGCAGGTCGCTATGACGCGAAGCCCTAGCGATAGAGCGTACTGCACCGCAAGCCTGTCGCTGGAGGGTCATCACTGCGTCTTTCCACAGGAAAGCGTACTTTACATACAGCCCGACTGCGCCTGCAGCAGCAGATATCAAGATCGTCTCTCCCTGAAAGTGCTTGAGAAATATATTAACAGCTTTCTCAACGCCACGAACCGGTCTTGGGTTCGAGACATCCTTGAATGCATAGTACGCCGTTTGTCCCGTCATGCCAAGGGCCCCGACGAAATAACGCCACGGGAGGTTGTACCGATTCTCCAGGCGCGTTATCCCGAGAGCTGGCATGGCAGCAGACTCGTCTGCGCCTTCCTTCGAGTCTCTGAAGATGGCATACTCTTGGTAGGCTGGTGGAGGCCGTATTTTGGTAGTGAGAGAGAGCCGAAGCGCCGAGGCTGATCGAACACGCACGCATGAATCCGCCGACGTGGCATCCCGCGGGGAAGCTGGGATGCTCAGAGCGTACGACTTGCGCGACTCCGAAACCGGTGACTCTAGGACGGTGATATTACTTCGTAGTACAGCGGGGAGAGGTCAAACATCGTGCGACGTACACCTGTCCAAGGGGCAAAGCGGGCATATCGCCTTCCGTATCGGCCGGGCGCATGCGGTTTCGCATATACGGATCCAAGCTGAGAGACAGTATCCTCACAAGAAAGCCGCCGTCGAGCTCAACCGCGTTGACATCGATGGTCGGCGTAGCATCGAGTTCGAAAACCGAACTGGGATCTGGAAGCCCGGAAGGGAGCTCGCGGAATACGAGTCGACTATTCGGGACAGGTGCCATAGCTTGAGAGGGCGTGCTGTAGCGCGAAGCAAAGATATTGGATGATCGAAAGCACTGCAGTTACGGTTCACGGAGTCGAGTGCGCCCACTCATTCGCAACTGTGAGATATTAAGAGCTTGAGCGGTCACTATTTCCATCCAGTCGATTTCTCTCAGGCCATCGAATAGTGGATAGGCGGATCTGCACTACAGAATGGGCATATACTAGCGCGATTGTACATCGAACCTTATGCAAGGGGCGTGTCCGTGGTAGTCGGTGGTCAACCAACAACTCCGGGTCGCAGCGCTTCCCGCGCGGGTGCCTGAGCCCGGAACGTCCCGATAGACTCTCACACCTCCGCACTAACAACAGGACCTGCCTGTGGCTCCCAGGACCTCAAACATGATGGTCTCTCTACCGTCCTCGCAGAATTGGTTCACATCCGACCTTCCTCCAATTAGTACAGTTACAGGGACGGCACTGCACCCATCATGATCACACTATTACTGGAGCATGCTGCCAGTCGAACGACGCTATACTATATACACCGGTGGCGCGCCCGTGAAACGGCTACTGGATACGGGTGTACTGGACCGACCCCCTTCCCGTATCACATATATTGGAAGCTCCTATCTATCCCGGACGCGCCTATCTGGCATCATGACAGCACACCTGCTGCCAGCGATTTCTCTGGTCTTCTGTGCTTGCTCGCTTATCATCGCCCGCTTCGTGTACTGCCCAGCGAAGCTACGGCCACTTCCATCGGTCCCCCTGATACCTACAATCATCAGTTTTCTTAAGGGCGAATCAGAAGATGTTCGTACCCGTCGGTTGGTGATCCCCACTGCTAGGAGGCACGATGCTGGTCTCGTGCGCATGTGGGCGCTTGGGGAATGGTATGTCCACATCGTAGACCACAAGGTATTCTCTGCTATCGGTCACAGAGACGATCTTACTCATATGGACAGTTAGGGAGACTACTCATGGAGAAGAGAGATATCTACAAGCAGCCCGCTCGACGAGAGATGATGTTTTGGCGCTTCACGGGCTCGCAAAGCGTGTTCTTTGCCGACGGGGAGAAATGGGCAAATCATTCCCCGGCCGTGCGAGGCGTCCTGCGCAATCACCTACCCATTGACACGTTTGCCTCGCTTAGTCGCAAACTGGTCTCCTTGCTCGGTGACGGTGGGAGGATCTGCTGGAGTGACTATAGCCATCGCTTCACGTTGGACGTCGTTGGACGCGCCATCTTGGGACATGACTTCCAGTCCCTCGACAGCCCCCATAACAGTCTTGTTAAGCGGTATGTGGACATCATGGCAGATATCTCACGTCCTCTATACATTGCATTCCCGGTACTCGAGTCGATTTTACCTCGCCATGGTCTCAGAGCGCGTGTAGACGCTCTCCGCGCGGAGTTTGGTCATCTCCTGGAACTGAAGAAACACCAGTCGGGGGATGACTACGTGTCGCGTCTGCTCGACTTGAGTTCCATGTCAGACATCGAGTACCTGGATAACATCGTCACGATGTTTATGGCCGGCCATGTAAGCTTGCGATCGATCCATGCACGGAAATGACGCTCATGGTTCAACAGGATACTACAGCTGGATCTTTGTCCACTGTCTTTTACTATCTCGCTCGCCACCCGGCTTTCCAATCCAGAGCACGTTCAGAAGTGATGGAAGCTATGGGCGTTCACGGCGAACCTTCCGTTACCCTATTCCAGAACACACCCTTCCTCAACGCATGCATCCGTGAAGCCCTCAGACTTAACGGTCCTTCTGTCCTTACCATCCCGCGCCTCTGCGATACGCCCATTACACTCGGAAACTTCATCATCCCACCCCAAACCCCCATCGCTCTCAACCTCTACGGCGTGCTTCACAATGAGACGGCCTGGACGTCCGTGAACGAGTACAAGCCTGACCGCTGGCTTTCACGTTGTGACGAGGAGGACTCCGCTTGGATGCCATTCAGCACCGGACCACGCCGCTGTCCCGCGACGAACTTCTCGTTATACGAGCAGCGAACCTTACTGGCAATAGTACTACGCGACTTCCAGTGGACCCTGCCGGCTGACAGTGCTCACAAAGAAGATCTACGAAACGCGTTGTCTACGTTCGCTCTGAACCTTCCGGACAACCTCGAACTCATATTCTCTAGGATTTCAACGTCAGGTGAGTCCTTTTCGTAGTCCCGCATCTCACAAGAGCTCATATTACGAACAGTTGAGCACGCATACTGACGGAGAAGAAGATCCCGAATGGTCACCTCCTGTCTACAGTGCGCTTTGAGGGTGCCGCGCGATACGATGAGAGACTATATTGTTTCTAGGCTTGTAACAAGCCGCTTGTTTAGATACAGGATATCTGATGTAAGCTAGTCCGAGGGCATACAGTAGGAGTGCTTCTCAGATCGACTTCCGTTTCGTGAAACAGATGTCTAGCTTATGGGGTACAGTGAGAGCGAATGGGGAAAACGCGTTTTGAATGCCACACGCATGAGAAGAACCAACGGGTAGGGTCCACTCATACTCCCGCAGAAGCATGGCTGTCAAGACTGTTTGCTCGTTGAGCGCAAAGGCTCGCGCAGGACACTGACGTTGCCCCATCCCGAATGGGATCCATGCGGGTGCTATGCTACCAGAACCCTTCATGAACCGGTCTGGATCGAACTTGAACGGATTGGGCCAGTCGTCCTCCTTGTGGTGGATGGCGTATATATTCAATACGATTGAAGTGTGCGGCGGGATGGCGTAAGGGCCGAGCTGAACGGTCGTTGAAGCCGCGCGCGGAACGAGATAGGAGATCGGGGTGTTGATGCGAAGGGCCTCGCGCACGCACGCATTCAGGTACTGCATCTGTTGAGAGAGCTCAAGTGTGGGATCTTTGTCGCGCCCGAGTACGCTCAGCACCTCGCGCCGAGCGCGCTCCTGAAGATCGCCGTGTATGGCCAGATAATATATCAGCGACGAGATCCCTCCTGCGGATGTATCCTAGCGCGGGATGAAATCAGCTTGTTGTGGGAAAAGATCCAGCCAATGTCACGTACATGGCCAGCTATGAAGAGCAACAACATGTTGTCTCGTAGTTCACGATCACTGACGCTAACATCACGCAGCATGTACGTGAGCATGTCCGTCCCAGGGTTTCCCCGCTTCTCCTGTAGCATGTCTTGAAAGCGACCGCCCAGCTCATCCATGGACTTCTTGAGTGCGCGACGGGGTAAGATGTTCTCCAAGAACGGCATGATAAGGTATATCGGGTTGGCAATAGCATGCATGATCCCGTTGTAGCTCCGAACGAATTCGCTCTCATGCTCGATCGCATCGAAATCGTGACCGAATGCAGTAGTGCCGACTGCGTCGAGCGCAAACCGCTGTGCGAGATCGTCAAAGGCTATGACGCGGGTTCTATTGATGACACTGAAGAGACGGCGTGACAGAAGCGCGAACTGCCGGATGGGAATAGCTTGATTGATGGCGGTTCGTACATTGCGGGAATGCTTTCGCCACTGCTCTCCATTGGACAGCAGTATGTTTGATTTCCCGATGAGTTGCCAAAGAAGGAGGTCGTCAGGAGGGTCTTCCTTCGGAAAGCATCGTATGTCCGAGAACACTACATCGCCAAGCTACGGTGGCTTGTCAGTACACAATGTGCAATTCAGTGAACAACTCTGACTTTATAGTCTAAAATATGAACCATCCACCTTCCCAACGCCCAAACAAGCACCAATCCCTCGCCCTTCTCATTCGCATACGGGAGCACGAGCCGACGAATCCTCTTATCTTCAGATTCGCAGAGGAGATAGCTGATGAGGAGGGGTAAGATTGGTACCCGAGGCAGGTGGCGTAGATCATTGGGTATGAAGACGACGGAGCGGCAGACGACAGCGACGAGCGCACAAAGAGAACATCCCACGAGCACGGCAATGAACGCCATAGTGGTGGCTTATCGAGAGCCAGTACTGGCCTTAAATACGCTGACGCAGTCCAGAAACTCGTGTGAGCGGTAAACAAGCCCTTCGTACCCGGGCCCCATAATGGTCCCATACTACAAGTCGACATCCGAAACGGCGATACTTGAGGCGTGACCGGAGCATCAATTTCCATCAGATTGGGCGGCAACGTTCCTCCATCCAGGTCCAAAGCTTTGCCCCAACTTCAGGGTCACCTGTTTCCTTTCTGGCCACTCCTACGCGGGCCCACGGAATCAGAAACTACGCCGTACTTTCAGTATCTAGGATAGTGTATGACCAATACGTGATCTCACCTTAGCGTTGAGATCGGCAGCCTCGGGAGCAGTTCCAGCGTAGAGCTGCGTGAGAGCACCATACGGCGCCGGGTAAAGAATCTTCGACTATGAACATGCATTTAGTAAGAATTTGACTGACGAGATGGTAGACATACAATGAGAGACTTCTGGATCCCACTCAAGTACCGCTGCAGATCAGTGCGAAGGTTGCCTGAGGAAACACGGGCCATTAGTTTTCGTCTTACCGTAGTGTTCTGAAAGACAGACCTGGATTCACAGAGGTCGTGACAACTTGATCCCCGTAGCGCCTGGCGAGTTCGCGTGCATGGATCACGTTTGCCTGTTGACTATGGTGTTCATACAAACACTGGGATAAGAGCCTTCTGACGTACGTGCTTGCTTTGGTTATACAGGTCCATCGGCTGCATAGAACGTCGTTTGGGGTTATCCTCGAAACATCCCAGATCCAGGGTTGTAAGATAGTTTGCAGACGACGACGTGATAACGATGCGTGCCTTCTCGCGACTATCGTTCGCATTCACCGCAAGAAGGGCCGGCATGAGAAGTTGAGTGAGATAAAAGTGTCCTCCATACACTCTTTCGTCAGTTCGCGTCGTTCGGTTTGTCAGTGCATCGCTTACCGAGGACATTAGTTCCGAGTTGCATGTCTAGACCTTGCTTTGTGAGGTCACTAATCGGACACGCCATGACTGCTCTACGAGAGATTTCAGTAAGAGGCGTATGTTTAGAGCGAGTGAGGAACAAACGCGTTGTTGAAGAGCACATGCAAGACCGTCTCCTGGCTATGAATGGTCTTAGATCAACCTCGCTGTTACAGGAAAGCACACACCTCAAGAATACAGCAGCGGCCTGTTTGATGCTCTCGAGGTCGGAGAGGTCCAACTGCATAAAGATGGCCTCCTTCCCGGTCTCCTGCCTAAGCTCGTCGATCGCGGCCCTGGCCTTCTCAGAATTTCTTGACGCCATGTAAACCTTTGCATTATGGAGAAGAAGAGCCTGCAGAAGGTGTTTGAATAACGGCGACTGAAATGAGATTTAACGGACGTATCAACCTTGACTGTTTCCTTTCCGACTCCTGCATTCCCCCCTAGTAGGATAAGACGGTGAGTCCCATTGGAAAAGCCTCGTGAAACTTGAGAGCGTACCTGTTACAATCATGACTTTCCCCGAGAGGTCAGGGATATCCTCCACTCCCCACTTTGGTTTGGGAGGGAACATCTGAGAGACAACAGACATGTAGCTACCCATCGTTACGCGTCGGGTGATGGGGGGAGTGAGGAGGCCGCGAAGAACGCTCGAAGCTGCGATAAAGCCGACTACGGGAAGCCATGGAAGGTGGCAACATTTCCACGCTCCGAGGCGCGCTTCGTGAGCGGCGAAGGTATGTCCGCGAGCCAATGGCAAGTACAAGGTTCTTGCAAGCCCGTATCATACACTGAGATGTTGACCTAGTTCTTCTGATATCACATATTCGGGTGTAAGAGGGAGGACACCGATCTGTCCGGAGGTAACTGTAAGACTCGAAGGCTCACATGCTCACGTCAACGCACCCATCAGCTTCTCCCGCCTCGATCTGAGTATGCGGTGAGAACCACAGGGCACTCAGACGTGTTTCCGGTGTTTCGAAGACAACCGAGGTCCTTGACGGCGATGTGAATCCGAGGGTTATTGAGGTGGCTGGGCCGGATGTATTGTTCGCCAGCAGATGTTATCGAGAAAAGGGTTCACATAGAACACGCTCCTGCGTTCAGCGGTCCAGGATGGGTTAGAACCGCGAAGGACTCAGACTTTATCGACCAGTAGGTGCTTCCAGAATCCAAGGTGCATCGCGAAGCAAAGCACTGAGTGCGCCCGGGAACTACGCCAACACCGATGTTTGAAACTTGTGACTGGAAGTAGTGCAAATGGGCTGTAGACCCAATGCCTTATGAAATCGCATGAGAGGGTCCGAAGAGCTTTCTCGCGAAGTCATAGCTCCAGGCTGCGACAGTCACCCGTCGAGCGCGGGCGGTGGGCGTTCGGGAAGAACAAGGAACCGACCGCGCGCTAAGTATCGGCTGTAACGCGACGATAGATTCCCACAACCATGCCGGGTACCGTATGGTTTCCCACATCTCAAGATCATGTGGTAGTGCACACCAGAACTGCATATCAACCATCGCCGTCGCCACCGCAAGGCCGTGATTGTACCCAGACCTCGTAGTGCGGTTCAGAAATCCGGAGACGCCCGCAGTCGTCTGAGCCCGCCGCTTGCCGCCGCGCGCCACTCGATATTTGAGTTTATCAAGTCTCATGCTATTCAACGATGACAGCTGTAGGTAGCAGATAACTTATTAGGGACACACCACGGGCCATTACGTGGATCACATCCGACGTTGTTGCAATCACGAAATACCGTGCTCTCAACCCAATCTTCACTGTACATACACACGCCACATCACCATGGTGTTCCAGCGCTACGCTACACTACTTCTCTCTATGTAAAACATTGCGCGACGAGTGGTCCCGTGAATAATTCACATCAGCCTGAATTGAGCCCACGCTGAGCTGCGGACCGAATGACTGCGTATACTTGCCAGCTAGTCGCTGCATCTAGCTCCGATCGTTCGTCAACAATGAAAACCTTATGGAGATATGAGTCAGTCGGGTGCTCTACACTCGCGTACATGCTGTTGAAAGGCATACCATCTACGAAGATCGAGTATCTTCATCACTTGTGGTAGCCGAGTTCGGGTGTGATTCAGTGTGGCGTGGCCCCGAAAAGACATACGCGTGCATGATCTTCGCAATATCTCGAAGGGAGCGGCGCCTGGGGTACTCCTGTGGGGCCAATGAGGCCACGAGCGCAGTCGCAGTATGCATCCTCATGGGCGAGGGATCAACGGGGGTGGTAGCGTCCGCTGCACTGAGTGTTTTGAGAGCATTGATGGCGAGCGCCGTGGTGAATCCGCGGTTACCAATTTTGGTTCCAGACGAACCATACTTGTAAAACCAACCGCTCGGCCATCCACCATCCTCCTCCTGCAGCAAGAGCAACGCGCGCGCGTCCAGCTCGTCGCGCACTCCTACGTGCGCACAGGCAAGGATCCGCATTGCAAGGGCAAGGGCGTCACCCTGGGTGCCAATACGTTCCAGGGTGCGCGCAGCAAAGAGCGGGTCCAGTCGCGCATGTAGCACGGGATCATCCGTCGTCTGAAGCAGACGCGATAGGAAGAAAAGGAACGGCTCCGCGCCTTCATAGTACCGCGTGCCGTCGAGGTACGCCCGATTCTCAAGCACGGCCACAACAAAGTCAAGTGTTGCTTCGACCTCCTCGCCTCGGCCTTGGCTATAGAATAAGGAAAGGACGTTGCAGCAGACAACTGGGTCGACTCTCGGTCGTTCGGAGTCAAAATAAGTCTGCAAGCGCCCTTCAGTCGAACCCTGGAGTAAAGGGATGGATCTGACCGGCACTTACTTGCATTATCAGTTCCTCAGTCCGATATACCAGCATCTCGTCCATCACACGCGAGAGGATATCAACGGCAGGTTGAGTCACCATGAGCCCGATCGATGTTGTGTCAAGATCGCAGGGAAACGAATCGGTCGTGAGCGTTGGCATCTCTAGTGACAGGTGTATCAGCGTCAATGGAAGTTCTACATAGCCACATGAATCAGCCGATACCCACCACGAAAGAAGTTCCACTTGAAAGTTGGATGTTGCACGTAGCGTACAAGAGAGCGGTCCTGGGTTGCTTCGAGTAGTAGCAGCTGGCAGAAGTTTTCCTGGATGGTAATCCCTGTGTCGGTGCAGGAGTCGTGCTCGCCGGCATGCGCGCTCAAGTACGTTTGCGCCCGCCCGACGGGGTCGAGGACATAGTTTCGCAGCGCCCGACGCACTTCCACCACATCCTTGAAGACAACGGCGTTGATACCGCACGCCCGCGCCGCGAGGACGTTTTCCGGTTTGTCGTCAACAAAGACGGTAGTTGCAGGATCCGCCTCGGCCTCTGACAGTACGTGCCGGTAAAAGCCGAGACTGGGCTTGCGCTGCCCTGCAGCGGCTGAAGTGAAGACGCGCTCGAAGATGCTCCAGTCTGCGGGCTTCGTGCGCAGGACTTCGTAATCTGGGTGAGAGATGTTGCTCATGGCAAAAATGCGCAAGTTGCCGCCAGAAGCCATCTGAAGATCGCGAATGAATGTCAAGAAACTATCGTCGGGCTGGAGCGACGCTCGTGCGTCTGCAAAGGCCTGGCGAACTTCCACAGGGTCAAGCGAGAACTGTGCCGCGACCTTGCTGTAGCACTCTTCTTCGTTGTACCGCCCACATTCATAGGCATGCCACATCGGACTGCCGAGAATCGCTTTGAGCTGCCGCGGCGTGATTGATGTCGATGTCACAGGGGACCAGCTAAAAAGCACATCGCCGATGTCGAAGATGAGGGTTGTGCAGCGAGACATCAGCGAGGACATATCGAGTTACCGTGCTAGCCAGAGGAGGTGAGCGGACACGCCTATCGGGGTCTTAGCAGCAAGTATCATGGCAAAGCTATATGTCCATGTTTCTTGAGGATCAAGTGCCTCTCAACTCGTATCTGGAAGGTCCGGTAAGTATGGAGCTCCTTTGAGACGTGGACTGAATACACACACCGGGCGCTATTCCCGTGCCCATATCGCGGAACTGGTAGTTCGCCCTAACGTGCAGGAGAGATCAGCAAACATCAGAGGAGGCAGGGAACTCAATTGGACAGACTTACGTGACCCACTGTGAATCTTGTCGCATATCAGAGGTACAGCGCACAAGCCCGCTCCGTCTCCCCTGTTTTGCGATGAAGGTCTCACAGAGAATATCCCAGAGAGGTATCGCGCCGCGGGTAGTAAGATGATTTGGAGTATTAGAGCGTATCTGCGTCGCATCCACGGTCGAAACGCACTGTGCGTCGATATCGCTGCACACTGAAGGAGATGATATATCCGTAGTCTCTCACATCGGATCAGCGCAGTCGCTCTCTATGCAGCTAATGCATATCCTGCGAGACTGTGGCTGGGCGGGATTCATGCACGGGGTTATAGTGAAGGCCAGGTGAAGGCTGAATTCAAGTGCAACCGGTCGACAAACAACGTGGCGACGGCGTGCGAACGCAGACACGCAGATCCGCTTGGTGTTGATTCGCACTCGGTATGACTCTGGTCTCGACAGCAATGTACTCATTAGCAACTGTGTACGCTTCGACTGAGGGAGCGTAGAGGCCATCGAGGAATATGGACACGATGTGACTTTTCTCCGAGTTTCTCTACCCACGACCTCTGCCAAGCATCAGTCGCAAGCGCTATGGGTCAGAGGGACTACATTGCACGATTGCGGTGCGCCACTAAAGATGGAGAGCGCTCTGATGAAGAAGCCAGAAGCCGTTCTATCAATGCGCTGTTATCCGCTTTCGAACATGGGGCACGCATGCCTGGCTCGACGCCGCACCCTGTATCAAACCTCGGCGGCTCGTGCCAAACTAGGCTAACGTGCTACGGCGACCCAACCTGGTGAAGGATTCACTGATACCACTGAGACGCGAGGCACTCTCTGATGACCTATCGTGTGGCGTATCATTCACTACTGGTGAATCCTGATGGCGCTTCATACGTATAGCCAAATGCGAGTCAGACGCCACCTCACAGTGCACATCATCTCATCGCGGGTGTATGTCGCGGGAATACTGTATCTCGATGAGGTCTATATCCGCGATACAATCCAATGATTCAAGAATCCTACGATAGCGGCCTGCCTGGACCGGAGGGTATCCCGATTGCTTCTTTTCTTCGTCACCTTCGAACGCCTGAGCCAGGTTTCAACTCTGAGTGTCAAGCGCTTGAGTGGCTATCGGCAATTCATCTTGTACCTCGGTGAGAACTGTCTCGGCGGCCGTACGGTCTCGTCCTGCACTCTAATCTTAGAGCGCTGATGAGCCGTCCAGTATCCGCTGCGACAGGTCCGAGTTCGAGAACTCAGAGTGTTCAGCATTCAGTTCTCAACATCTCCATGTTCTCATCGTCCGCGCCCAGTCTTTTATACTACATCAACAGGAACTAGGCGCTCCAGGCTAGTTGTGCCCGCCTCCTTTACACTTCTCGTTGCCGCGCTTGTCTCGCCGGTCTTTCCTTCTCTTTCAAAAGATGCCCACATTCCGAATCGACGAAGCGTATCTGATTGGAGGGTGGTGTGCGTCTGCTTTATGGGGTACGGGATATCATGCACTATCTTGGGTGTCAAGCAATCGGCTTATACGACCTCGACAGGCATCTTTGGATGCTTCATCGTCTACGCCCTGTTCCAGGCGTATGGCCTGTATAAGCAAGGGAAGGCAACTCGGACCACGAAAGTGACCATCGTTGCCGCGCTAGTTCTGTGAGTGGGCGCATGAGTTCGTTAACTAGTACTCATAACCTATTTCAGGTACGCCTTGTCTACGGCGCATGTCGCCATTGCGCTTCGCCGGCTCGTAGTCGGGTTTGTCGACATCCAAGGCCCAGGCACAATCCCGTACTTCGCCGATATAGGCGCTCCTCTCAACAAGGCGAAGGATCTCATCTATACAACGAGTGTACGCCAGCATCTTATCCTGCGCACACGTCCCTTTTGACACAGAGACCCACCTTTGTAGATGATCATCGCTGACAGTGTGGTCGTCTGGCGTTGCTGGGTTGTCTGGAATGGCAACCTTTACGCCCTTGCACTTCCCATTCTGCTTGTGATGGGAACTGCCGGTGGGTTCAAATTCTGTCCCGCGAGAAGCTTCACTCACTATTCCGCAGTGTCTGGCTATGGTGCGGAGTCTCAGTACTTCCTGACCAACCCTAATCCTGTCACTGCCGTCGACTTTGGCAATGCTATGTTCGCCGTGTCCTTGACGACGAACATATATGTTACTTTGCTCACCATGGGGCGCATATGGTACGCCTGCGTCTATTCACCGGTGCTACAGCCAAATATTCACAAAGGACTAGGTGGGCTTCACGTCAGGCAAACGAGGGGCTAGGCACGAGTCCTACACATTCCACTTACAAACGGATTATCCTGCTTCTCTTCGAGACGGGAATGATTATCGCATTGGCCAAGATCTTTGAGTTCTCCCTCTTCCAAGTCGCCCCCGATGCCGGGACGTTCGGTTTCAATGCGCTTTATGTGGTCTTCGACATGATACCGCACATAAACGTGAGTCGTCACTAGCATGTTATTAGATGGCACTAACTGGTTGGATGAACTGTGTAGGGCATTGTCCCCACGGCCATCATCGTCATCGTGCATGCGCGGCGCGATAGTACTAGTACCTATTCTTCATCGAAAGGCTCTGCGCTTTATCCGCAAGCCTCCATCGCATTCGCCGCTGCTACTAGATCACAAACGTCTGGCACAGCGTCGTACTCTGACGGCAATCGAACTGCGGGGGGATACGGTGGCAAATCAGCCCGGTTCGTGTACCCTGAGGAAGGGATCGCAATGCATGACAAGATGGATTCAAGCCACACTGATCCTGCGAGCGAGAATACCTTTGGCGCCGACCCCACCTTCACGGTGTGATCGACGTTCTACAGTGAGTGCCTGTCGGTCGATCATTGCCAGCCTGGATACCTGTCGCCTTCTTATCTGTAGATATTGTTCCCTAGCACCTTCATTCTTATTTATGAATTTATGCGAAGAGCTGCCCGTAAAAACGGCTGCTCAACGTCAACGTTACCCCGACGAGATTGTGCGAGTCTCGGAATATTGCGCGTAGAGATAAAGAACGCCGTCTGTCTTCGGGAGCCTGAAGGTATACACCGGGCAGTGAAGCATAAAGCAGACCCCGAAGTCATGTCCTATCAGCGCATGTCTACGTGCAGGAGGATACTATGATCTCTGAATGACATGGGGTAAGGACAACGCCGCACGCAACGAAACTTCGGCGGGACGCACCAAAAGGACTTATCCCACGCCCCTCCGTTCCCTTCACCGTCTTCCATCACGACCAGCCCGCTGGTATTGCACCGCAACTACGACCTACCCCCGAGGCTTAAGGCATGAACAGTCGGTGCGCCGGGAGATCTGGCCGCGAGAGCCGCGAAGCTTTGGTCCTTAATACGGTGCACGCGCCCGAGCGCCTTCAAGCGTGTGTGCCCACTTTTGGCGGCGCTCAGCACGGAGATGAACACTTAGGAATCCGCGGTCACAATCAAGCCAAATATAGAAGCTGGACGTGATGCATGGCCTTGGGCGTGATTCTTTTGAAAGGAGAACGGGAGTGCGTGGGGTAGGCTTTGGTGGACCGTGCATGCGACGGTACTGGAGGACGATAGATGATACCTATGAGAGTCAAGCTCTCCGACAAGGTCCGTGGTGGTCTTCGTCTATTCGTGTGCTCGGCTGATGCACATCACTTATCAGGTTACCGGGAAGCGCTGGCCATATAAGCCTGCCTGGGTCTAACGCTTCCTCTGCCCGGATCAACATGTTTACTCCCACGTATTGGACGTCCTCGCTCTCGACTCTCCTCAAGCTCTTAGGACTGTGGACCACGTACAAACTTGTTTTGCGCTGGAAACATGTCTCCGCTCTTTCGTTCCTTCCAGGACCGCCGACTATCAGCTATATCTGGGGCGACGGCTTCGATCTCAAGAAAGCACCTGTTGGAACCCGATACAACGTGTGGCGTAAGACCTACGGGCCAGTCTACCGGCTTCGCGAGCCGCTGATGGTGCGTCATGATGAGTGTACTCGCCAATAGCTTGACTGAGCGCGCGTAGGAGCCGATTCTGGTGATGGGCGATCCTAAGGGTGCTCTGCATGTTCTCAATAAGCCGGTTTTATATTGGCGTCCCGTCATCGACAGGGTGATCCTCGCACTTTGGGTAATATATCCCTATCGCTTTTCTCTCTCTTTCTCTTTCTGAATTTCATCAACTTCACAGTTCGGCCCCAGTGTCTTATCTACGGAAGGTTCGTCTCCTTGCCACCACGCATCTGCTGTAACTAAAGTTCCGTAAAGCCACTACGCATGCCCAGAGACGTCAAAAGCTACTTCCCGCCTTCACGTGGGTATATCAATCTTGTTGTCATGAACATTCACTCATGATATCTCCGACAGGCCTCAATCGGTGAAGCAAGTCTCTACTGTGTTGGATGATCTGGCCCACAACGTGCGTCTTCTGTCATGGCAAGAATGGCTTGCCTTCGGACTGCTCATACACTCCTATTGCGTACAGCTGGTCGACGAACTGAATGACAAGCTCGGACTGGATGACTCGATCGTTATGGACGTATCCGGGGCACTGCATCGTTTCGCGCAAGTGATTCCCTCCGAATCAGCTGCACTTCATCCCTGACACTACTATCAGGTTGAATTCCATCTCCAGGACTATGTTCGCATACGACCTGAGCGACCCAACGAGCACTATCCCGACCCTGTTGAAGAATATCTCCGACGGGCCGGATGGCCCTGACACGACGCTCACTCGTGTGGCTGCTGTGGTCATCAACACCTTCCCTCGTCTCATGGGACTTCCCAATCCCATGAAGAAATGGGCCACTATGCTTCGCACGGAACTTGGAAAGATCGCCGAGGCAGCCTGGGATTCTGCCGAGCACATAGATACGCTGGCAGGGATGGATGCTCGGGTCCTTGAGGTTCTCAGTGCGTATGGAAACCCGCACATGAGATAATAATACTGAAGCGGTAACCCAGGCCAAGCGAGCAAAAGTGGGGAGAACGTGTCCAAAGACGATGCTGTTGCCGAGGTATGTACGTCGCTTCTCAAGGCACTCTATGGAAAGGCTAACATCTTCTTCGTACATAGATTATCGCCCTCCTCTTCGCCGGATCTGAAAGCACTGCGAACGTCATGGGGGTAAATACGCCGCACTAATGCCATCGAGTTGCGGTCTGACCCATCCAATGCAGGAGTTGCTCTACGAGCTTGCACACCAGCCCAAGATCCAGACGAGGGTACGAGATGAACTGCGCGCCTTCGAAGTCTCGAACGGCGGGCCCCCGGGGCACGCAGATCTATTCGCATCGAGCAAGAACGGTTTGGACTACTTCAATGCTGTAATCATGGAGACACTGCGATGCAAGGCCGTGCTTATGGACATTGCGCGTGAAGTACGTTCAGGGGTTTTCTTCTTCGCAGATCAAATGGTTGACGGTCAACTCCGTAGGCGGTCGTCGACGACGCCATTCCGCTGAAAGATCCTCTCCCTGGAACCGGCGAGCGCATACTGCACGTTCGTAAGGGACAGATTATATCTATCCCAGTTCGGGATGGACTGAATGTAGACACATCCATCTGGGGCGACGATGCGGAACTCTTTCGGCCGGAGAGATGGTTAACCCATGATGATGCCGTTGAGCGAGGCATTGGCCCAGGAGGAATCCTCACCTTCGGTGATGGGTGCGTTTCCCGTACCCCTTCACCGTTCTACGCTAACCTCTAGGTCAGTGCGAAAGCGTGCTTAGGTCGTCAATTTGGTGAGCGATAAAGTTTTTGATTGACGAGATCACGTCTAACTCTGCATACTTGCCCTAGCTATGGCCGAGCTGAAGGTGTGTTTGTTATAGGCATAATCTTCGTTCCACAAGGAGCTGACATCCGTGCAAGATCGTTGCGTCGACCCTCATCCGCAACTTCAGCTTCCAGCCTTCCGAGACGGAGCTCGATATTGATTTCTATCATCTCGGTGGCAACACTGTCAAGCCTAAGATACGCGGGCGTGAGGATGAAGGTGTAAAGCTTCCACTTCGCATTAGCCGACTTGCATAGTACATGTACTCCACATCTCTCCTACCTTCTCCTGGTGGAACTTCTCGTGAATTCGCAGCTACTGTTTGCTTGAGGCGCAGCATGCGTCCTGTATACCCTTCCGTTGCCCTCGTACTAGTTATTCTTTACTTGTTGTGTCAATCCCTTGCTCATTAGTTTGCATTTGTATGGGCCCGGCTATCACTGAGTACAAAGCATACGTCGCGAAGATTGGGCCATCGGGTGGTGCACCATCACACTGAGAACCAGATTAGTCATTAAGATACAGCGACGAGCGTACAGTTTGACCTCGGAAAGCAACTACGTATTGCGAGGACAGATGGGGGTATTCTTCACAAGAACCAGATCGGGAAGCACGTTTCAAGACAATGAAGATGGACAGCAGTGGTAGGTAAAGCATAGCAGTAGCGAGCGACTAGGCAACACATCCGAGTTCAAGATTCAGTAGCACGAGACAAAGGATGGAGGATAGACACGAGAAAGGAACATCGTTACTTCTTGCGCGAAGTAGCCTTTGGCCTCGGCTTGGGCTTGGTTTGTACTGGTGCAGGCGGCTATAGTCATCATCAATATTCCATCCTCTCCAACAGGGCTGAGCAGTACGTACCTTGCGCGCACTCCGCCGCCTCGGACTCTCCTCCTCCTCCACATCCTCCGGACTCGACGCGCTCGCCGGTTCACCGACATCATCCATATGCACGTCCTCATCCCTCGTACTAGCCGGCGGCTCCTCGGCCGCACTCTCCTCTTCCTCCTCTTCTTCCTCGTGCTCCTTATGGCTCGCGCG